TCTCCAAATTTGTTTATCTCTTGAATTTTCTTCCTTATACCTAATGTTATATTTTTGTTATCACTGCATATTTCATTATGATAATCTTTCTTAACCTTTTAACAGGCTGGAGCGATAGCATAGCGGGTAGGGAATTTGCCTTGTATGCAGCTGACCCGGGTTCGATTCTTTTACCCTTCTTGGAGAGCCCAGCAAGCTACCAAGAGTATTCTGCCTGCAAGGCAAAGCCTGGCAAGTTACCCGTGACATATTTGATATGCCAAAAACAGTAACAAGTCTCACAATGGAGACATTACTGGTGCCTGCTCCAGCAATTCGATGAACAATAGGAGGACAGTGCTGCAGTGCTGTCCTTTTTAACAGCTAAATATTGTGGATGTATTTTTTGTGTGTTTAGCAGAATTCTGTGAATGGATGATAATTCATTTTTTCCATGTCCTTATTAGTAGAAGTTTCAGTTGTTTCTAATCTTTAGCTGTAACTGTGATTATATTTTATTTCTAATTATACTACTGAAATTTATATAATCTAAAATTTCACATACTGTTTCATGATTTCTAGTTTATAGATTTTTAGAAATGAGTTGCTTCAAAGGATAATGCATATGTAGTTTTGCTCCATAAATCCATTTTTTCTCAGTATTGTTTGAATCCTGTTGACAGTGTATAAGAATTTCTTTTTGCATTATCTCACCTAAAGAAAATATTGGTAAGCTTGTAAGTTTTATTGTGTGGAGCATTGCAAGAAGTGACCAGGATGTCTGGTAAGTTATCTGTTACCTGGCCCTACAGATTAGCACAAAGGCTTCAGGATGCACTGTTAATGAAATCCTGCAGGGCTGGGGATACTCTTGTCACCACAGCAGTTCTGGGGATCATCAGAACTGTACATGGTAATGCTCAGTGGACCATGTGGTTCTTGGAATTGAAGTGAGTTGGGTGTTTGCTATGCATGGATGTACGATAACACTGGATTGTCTTTGCTGCTCCCTCCTGCAGGGAGTTTAAGGTTTATTGAATCACTCCTACAACAGTTTAAATGAGGAACAATTAATAATCCTATATTTCTTTTCTCTTTCCTTTATATCATTTGTATGGTTTATTTAGCATTGCCCTTTTTGAATTGACACAGGAAGATAATTGATGCTATGCTATGTAACATGGAAGTTAATTGACCCCAAAATAATATTTACTCCTGGACATATGTATTTACTTGACTTAAGCCTCAGTTGTCCTTAGTTTCTAGCATTCCAAGAGCAGGGTCCCAGCTAGGGACTGATGGACCCAGGGCAAGCTGTGACCTACCCTGGCATCGAAATGGGCCAGGCCAAGCACTGTTATACTTAACATGGTCATGGACAAACTCTGTCATTACAACCCCCAAAAAAGAGTTAACTGAATAAGGACCCTGCTGGGGTTAGGAAGACTGACTTAGCCTGAAGACTCTGGTCTGGAATATACAGTGAGTCGGTCCCAGGAAGAACCAAACTTTAAGCTTAATATATCTCTTACTGTGCTCATACAGAATGACAATGCTAGAAATATTATAAGAACTAAATTCACTATGCCTGTTCAAGTAGATTACTAACTAAGGAGAAAGCAATACACCCTGGATGAAATTACATCCTTGTGCGGATCTCCTAATAATCTCGAGTAATCTCCTTAGATGAGATTTTTGTCCTTGAGAAGGAGTGGCCTTCACCTCTCTTTATTGATTTGTTAATGTTCAGCCCCATCTTTGTATCCCCACTCTACATGATTCCAATATAACTGTGATGTAAGGGGTTCTGGAGAGAGACTAAAGGAGAGACTGAAGAAGAAGTTGCAGAGGGAGACAGATACTGAAGTCTGGAGATGATGTAGCAAAGACTTGAGAGAAGAAGGAGAAAATGATGGCAGAGGAAGATAGAAGCAAGAGGCTAAAAAGAAAAAGATGACGGAATAAAAGAAGACAACAGCAGCAGTCTAGAGACCAGGAGACAGAGAGAGACAATGACTGAGGAAGACAGAGACAAGAGACTGAAGGGGAAGACAAAGACACCGAGAGAAGACTGAGAGTGAAGACTAGATGCTGAAGACTAGATGTTGAGAACGAGAAGGTCCACAGCAAGACGCTGAAGATGAGGAGGAGAACTGAGACTTTGGAGACTTTGAGGTCTGAGAGAAGGCTTCGATGATGGAACTCTGATGACCGGGACTGCGGCCATAACGAAGACTACGACTGCGCAGTAAAGGGAGAACCTGTTGTCCGGAACAGCTGGAAAGGTAGCAACTCCCAGCCACCTAACGCCACCACTGCGTCCTGTCCATGTGCGGATCCACCACCGAAAACCTTTCTTTTTACCCTCTTTTACTTGTGTTTTGTGGTGTTGTGTGAAAACTAACATATGTACTGTAGATGATGTACTATCTTCTGGCCCCACACTCATACTTTTGCCAATCCTGACAGGGAAGTTTAATTGAATGATTTTGGAGTTGATGGTATGGATTTCCTCAGGACCACGTATTTGCCACTTATTCATCCACCCTTCTTTTACATTTGTATATTTTATTATATTTTATTTTATATTTTATTTTATATTTTATTTTTATAAAGTTATTCATAATACTTGATTATTCAATATCCCAACACCAATCCCACAACCATGACACCTTCCCACCAGCATATTTAGAGGTATTCCACCCCTACCCCCAAAACTTGCCCCTAAAGCAGAACATAATAATTACTTTGTATTGCCTGTTATGAATAATCCACTAAATATGATCCAAAAAACTTTCCTTAGAGAAAATTGTGTGAAGATTGTTGTATCACCCTTGAACCATTAACCCTTGTATAAAATATGAGGTTCGTGGACATGTGCTCCAGAAATTCTAATTTTTTTTATCTTAAACTAAAAAGTTTCTGTACCTCAAAAGAAACAGTGACCAGAATACAAAGACAGTCTACAGAATGAGAAAGGATAGTCACCCAATACCCCTCCAATAAGGGGTTAATATCAAGGATATACAAGGCACTGGTTGAACTCTGCAAGAAGAAAAATTCAGTCCCATCAGAAAATAGGGCAATGAAATGAACAGAAACTTTCTCAAAGAAGAAATACTAATGACCAAAGGACACATGAAAAAGTGCTCTTCATCACTAATCATCAGGGAGATGCAGACCAAGACAACAATGAGATACCATCTCACACCACAGAGGATGGCACACATCAAAAAGAACAAAAACAATCATTGTTCGCCTGGATGTGGGGAGAAAGGGACTCTCCTTCACTGCTCATGGGAATGCCAACTGGTCCAGCCTTTTGGGTAAACAATATGGGCATTTCTCAAAAAGCTAGAAATTGAGCTCCCATTAAGCCCAGCAATAACACTTCTGAGAATACATCGCAGAGATGCAAAAAGTACAGTAGAAATGACTTGTACGTTTATTGCAGCCCTATTTACAATAGAATGTGGGAAAAACCCAAGTTCCCGAGAACAGACAACTGGTTAAAGAAACTTTGGTTTACACAATGGAATCTACACAATGGAATACTGTGCAGCTGTTAGAAAAAAATGAAGTCATGAAATTTGCATATAAGTGGATCAACATGGAGAGTATAATGCTAAGTGTCGGAAAGGGAAGGACAGACATGAAAGGACTGCACTAATTTATGGAATATAAAGTAACATAATAGGAGACTAATGCCTAAGGACAGTTAAAATAAGGGTCAGGAGTTCTGCCCTACAGCTTGATAGCTGATTTCATGAGCTAGGGGAAAAGGTAGCTGTGATGGAGCGAGAAGCACTAAATAGATGTTGGTTGGAGGGATCGTGCCGGATAGTAGATTCATGTTGAATGTAGACTATGGACCAAACATGATGGCTGCTTGTTACTGGTATTAAAACCATAACACCCAAAAGAACAGAGAGAGTAAGAGGAATTGTGCCTGCCACAGAGGTAGGAGGTGAGAAGGGGTAGGGATGGGGGATATTGGGAACATTGGTGTTAGAGAATGGGCAGTGGTGGAGGGATGGGTACTTGAACATTGTTTGACTGAAACGCAATCATGAAAGTCAGTAAGTCTGTAAGTGTATATCACGATGATTCGTTAACATAAAAATAAAAAAGAATTAAATTTTTAAATGGATTGTGACTTTGGGGTCCAGAGGCATATCTGGGGCATGTTGCTCTCTTCCTCTTCTGAGGTTTATTTGTGAGTTTCTGGATCATGGCTGTTAATGAGCTTAAATGGTGCTAGAGGCAGTTTGTGGGCATGGCTGCCAGTTACCAGAAATGCAGGGAGATAGCGAGAGGTCACCCATTCCCGACTCCAGGGGAAGGCTGAAGATTTCTATCACAAGTCCCCTGTACTTGAGTTCTTCAACAGATTTACTTATGAATGAGGCTCTTCTGAGCCTGTGGATATCAGCCGTGAGCATTGTGGTGATTGAGTTCTGGAGGTTTTTGGCTTCCAGGGCTTTGCGGGGGTCAGGGGGAACTCACCCACGCCCCTCTGGATTGTCCAGGATGAGGCAGCCTAGCTTGGAGTAAGATCATCAACTTTTCTAAATTAATAAGTCATCGTGAATTGGAAGAACCACTTTATCTGTTTAGAACATTGCATCTACTAATTTGCATGTTCCTACTAAGTCCAGGGAAAACTGGACGCTCAAATAGTAATTTTTGTTTGTTTTGTGGAATGACTTCTGATGATGATCAGGAGACCATGTGGGATGCCAGGGATTAACCTGGGTCAACAATGTGCAAGACAAGTGGCTGACCTGCTGTACTATCTCTTTGGCTCCTCAAATAGGAATTTTTCCTATGCTTTTGTATTAAAAGAGAATTTTAAATATATAATAGGATTTTATTAATGATGTCTAAAGGAACAACAATGATTGCCAATAATCACTAAAACACATATTGTTCATTTGTATTCAAAATGTAATTTTATCATTCCTTTAAGTAAGATATTATTGTTATGTTATTTTTTTCAAGGAATTTATTTTGTTTTATAGGGTCCTCCTGGACTTCCTGGATTTCCAGGGACACCGGGCCTTCCTGTAAGTAGAATTTGGATTTTTATTTTAATATTCCTTAAAGAGCAATCTAGTAATTATACATGTCTTATATCTTTTCAAAGGGAATGCCAGGCCATGATGGGGCCCCAGGACCTCAAGGTATCCCTGGTTGCAATGGAACCAAGGTGATATTTTTTCAGCTTAATCTATACTTGATAAGAATACATTCTTAAAAATCCAAAGAAATCAGTATAAACAATGTCAGACAGATGCAATGTTTTATTTCATGTTTGTTTGGGAGCCTCACCTAGCAATGTTCAGGACTTACTCATGGCTCTACCTCATGAATCACTACTGGCGGGGCTTGTGGGACCATATGGGATGCTGCTGATTGAACCTGGATAGACCTAATGTAAGACAAGTTCCCTACCTGCTGAACGATAGCTACAGCCCATGGAATTAACAAAAATAAAAATAAAACTTTACATATGACAAAATTATTATTTTCTTTCTTTTTATCTCCTATCAACAGTTCAGAATTAGTGTCTTAATCATAGCAAGTAAAAAGTATGAAAATTTTCTTATTTTGAAAAGTTATATTCTTGTTGAAGTTTCCTCACATTTTCTCTCTTTTAAGTTTGTGCATTTTTATTATTTTCTGTAACCTTTTGGCATCTTATATTTTGCAGATAAAAATCAGTGAATTTAGGGGGCTGGAGCGATAGTACAATGGGTAGGACCTTTGCCTTGCACTCTCCCAAACTGGTTTCAATCCCTGGTATCATATATGGTCCCGGGAACACCATGATGAGTAAATTCCTGAGTGCAGAGCCAGGAGTAACTCCTGAACATTTTCAGGTGTGATCCAAAAAACCAAAAAAAAGTCATTGAAGCTATTTTTGAAATTCTCTGGATCTTTTTTTTTCTGCCTTTCATTTTGTTTTGTTTTTATGACCATACACAGTGGTACTTAGGGACTGCTCCAAGTCGTTTTCTGGGACCATGCAGTGCTGAAGATCAAATCCAGTACTCCATTGTTTAACTGTCTTTCCAGCTTAAAAATTCCTCTCCTCTCATCCCTCCTTTCCCACACCCTCCATTGTTCTCCCCTCCCCTGCCATGGTACTTAGGCCTTACTCCTGGCTCTGCATGCAGGCATCACTCTTGGTGCGGTTCAGTGTACCATGTGGGATGTTGAGAATCAAACCCTGGTCTGCCACATTCAAGGCAAGGTCCCTACCCTTTTGTATCATCTCTCAATCTGGATCTTTCTAAATAATGACATGTGTCAGATTTATACAATGAGATGTATTCAAAATAACTTCAATACTCAATTTAACATTAGAAACACCATGCTAGACAATAAGTGCAGTGTATACATGAAGCCCATAAATTTAATTGTAATTGCCAATATTTCCCAGGTTTTTCTGATGTTTGCTAATTGAAATATGATATCAGCAACAATAACATTGCTAATAACAATTTATTTTAATTGTACCTGTTTGTGTTTTTCATTTCAGCTTGGTGATCCTTACAATAGACAAATGTGGAGTTAGTTAGCATGTTAGAATAGCTATATTCTGGTGTCTGTTTTGGTAATTTTGAGAGGCCAGCATGCATTGAGTGACAGACAATAGTCAGAGTTTTAAATTTAAACTTCAAATGTTTCTACAATGAGTAGAATATGCTGTATGATTAAAGGGATCGTTCCCTTCCACTTTTTAAAATGAACACCTAGATGCAGGTTAGTTTTGTTTGAGTAGCTCAATTATATGAGAATCATATTTAAAAAATGTGTATACATATCTCTCTTTAGATTAAATGTTGACTTCAATTTCTTACTATTTAGCTAATAGAATGAAATCTAGAAGGTTTGTTTTTATTTTCTTCCTTCTAAAATTGATATACAGGCCTCCTGTACATGCATGTATATATGACATACGTATGGAATGCATAGGAATACATTCCATAGTATGAATCTGACATGTATCTACTTTTCCTGTATAAAAATGGTGCATAGAGGGGTATTGACACAGCAGTAATAATTTTATTTTTGGAAACGTTTGATAAGAATGTTTCTAAATTAAACGTCTATATTAGAACTTTACAATTGTTATTGAGGAAAACTTGGATACCTAGAAAATATAATGGCCTACAATTGCTAGAACTATTGATAATATTCTTCTCCTGGTGATATTAGTGACATTTTTTAATTATTTTTCCTCTTTACAAAAATAATCTACAATGGTTTGTAATAAAAATAAAAACACAACAGGGCAGTTAAATGAGAATCTATATCAGACATAGGCAGAAAATTGAGAAAAATTATTAACTCTCAAGTGTAATGATGGGCAGGAACTGTAGTATAATTGTCTCGAAGATTTCTCAGAAGCAAATGACTGGAGTAGAAGAATTATTTTCCTTATTTCTGATTTGGATTGATAAGTATGGGTAGAAGTATCTTAGAATCTTAAATTGTTATTGATATTGAATATAGGGCTGGAGCAATAGTACAGCGGTAGGGCATTTGCCTCGCACGCAGCCAATATGGCTGACCCAAGTTCGATTCCTCTGACCCTCTTGGAGAGCCCGGCAAGCTACCAAGAGTATCTCGCCCGCATGGCAAAGCCTGGCAAGCTAACCATGATGTCGTTGATATGCCAAACACAGTAACAAGTCTCAAAATGGAAACGTTACTGGGCCTGCTCGCGCAAATCGATGAGCAATGGGAGGACAGTGACAGTGAGTGATTGAATATAGATATAATTAGAAAGTGAGGACCAATGATTTTTTGAAAGTCTGGCATATAATAAAGTGGCTTTCACAGAAATCTCCAATAAGCTACTCTTGATTTAATTTAGTTTTGTTTATGATTCTTTCATGGTCTTTGTCTTTTCCCATGCATTTAAAAATATATTTATCAAGTAGCTGGTTTTTAAGAGTTTGAGTATTTATTAGCGTATTGCCACGACTACCACCACCAGTGTCAATATTCCTCCATAGCAGTCCACTGGATCCTTTCAGTTCACTCTCCCTACATCAGTAACTTTATTTATGTACCAGTGTCTCAGGGTTTGTTTTCACTGGATTATGTCTCTTCTATTGCTTTTTTTCTTTATATACTACCTATGACTGAAATATTTTGTTATTTTTATATTCATAAGATATATATTTATCTGTTGCCTTATTTCACTGAACATCCTCTTTAACCGCCTTCTAAATCCTTCTAGGGAGAACGTGGATTTCCTGGCCGTCCCGGTTTTCCTGGTTTACAGGGTCCTCCAGTAAGTTATAAAATTGGGAATTATACTTAAAGATGGAATTCATAGATGGAGTGTAGAGAGTGAACTCAGATCATTCACATTTCAGTTATTGTCTTTTAAAGTCTTAAACTAGGGAAGGGTTATTTTTTTCTTCTTTTTTTTATTGGTGAAACACCATGAGGTACAGTTGTAGATCCACAAATTTTTGTGCTTGGGTCTCGACTATACAATGATCAAACACCCATCCCTCCACCAGTGCCCATTTCCACCACCATGAATAATATCCCTCCCACCCCCATCCCCCCCATTCCATCCTGCCTCTGTGGCAGGGCATTCCCTTTTGTTCTCTCTCTCCTTTTGGGTGTTGTGGTCTGCAAAAGAGGCACTGAGTGGCAAACATGTTTAGTCCATAGTCTACTTTCAACATGCATCTCCCCTCCTGGGAGCATCCTCCAAACACCCTTTATTTGGTGCTCCCTTCTCTATCTGAGCTGTCCTTTCCCATAGAACACCTGGCTGGCCTGTAAGCTATGGAGTAATCCTCCTGGTGCTGATCTCAGCTATTCTTGGGTATTAATCTCATATTTTGTTACTTTATATCCCCCAGATGAATGCAATCTTTCTATGTCTATCCCTCTCTTTCTCACTCATTTCGCTTAGCATGATACTTTCCATATTGTACCACTTGTATGTAAATTTCATGACTTCATCTTTTCTAAGAGCTACATAGTACTCCATTGTGTAGATGTACCAAAGTTTCTTTAACCAGTCATCTGTTCTTGGGCATTCAGGTTTCTTCCAGTTTCTGGCTATTGTAAAGAGTGCTGCAATGAACAAACAAGTGCAGATGTCACTTCGACTATACATTTTTGCCTCTCTGGGATATATTCCCAGGAGTGGTATTGCTGGGTCAAATGGGAGCTCAATTTCTAATTTTTTGAGAATCGTCCATACTGTTTTCCAAAAGGGCTGAACCAGTCGGCATTCCCACCAACAATGAAATGTCCCTTTCTTGCCACATCCACGCCAGCATCAGTTGCTTTTGTTCTTTTGAATGTGCCTTTGGCCAGTCTCTGAGGTGTGAGATGGTATCTCATTGTGGTTTTCATCTGCATCTCCCTGATGAATAATGATGTAGAGCATTTTCTCATGTGCTTTTTTGCCATTCGGATTTCTTCTTTGAGAAAGTTTCTGTTCATTTCATTGCCCCATTTTTTGATGGGGTTGGATGTTTTCTTCTTGTGGAGTTTAACCAGTACTTTGTATATCCTTGATATCAACCCCTTGTCAGATGTGTATTCGGCGAATATCCTTTCCCTTTTGTAAACTGTCTTTGTATTTTGGTCACTGTTTCTTTTGAGGTGCAAAAGCTTCTTAGTTTAAGATAGTCTCATTTATCTATGTCTGTTTTCACTTGCTCGGCCAGTGGCGGCATCTTTGAAAATACCATTAGCTTCAATGTCATGGAGGGTTTTGCCAACTTTGTCTTCAATATACCTTATGGTTTCTGGTCTGATGTTGAGGTCTTTAATCCATTTTGATTTTACTTTTGTACACGGTGTTAGGCAGAGTTCTGATCCCATTTTTTTTTGCATGTAGTCGTCCAGTGATGCCAGCACAATTTGTTAAAGAGGCTTTCCTTACTCCAGGGAAGGTTTATTTTTTATGTTCAAAAGAAGTTAATAACACTGCTGGGTTAAAATAATTCATACATATTACATAATATATAATAGACATATTAAATCTCTAAGTATCCTAAGCTATATTATATTATAGTGGTATAGTAATGCATTCATTTATTTATATATTTTTATAATTATGAAACATTAATACATTCATAGATATTTTTATATTTAGGAAACTTTTTGTTCCTTTATTTGAGTCATATTAAAATCCCTTTTTTTAATACTAGGGACCTCCTGGTATCCCAGGCATGAAGGTAAGTGTCTCATGCTAAGAAAACAAACACTTTAAATAAAATATCTGGAAAGCCTGCAAATTTCATCAGGTAATGACATTTACTTCTGCCTTAAAATGGATGCTTCAAGAATTTAAACAGGTATATACTTGTAAGCTCTACTTAAAATGATCTCCTTTGTTCCCCTGTCTTGGGCTTTTAATATACTGATTTTGTAACTGTGTGTATCAGACCCAAATTCATTTTAAATTCCTTGAGACTTATCTTGTAAGATTTTGATAGTTGACCATCTACTTTTTCTAGAAATGTTAATTTTGAAAACCCTGGCTTCTGTGACACTATCCTTTCCTGATTTCAATTCTGCATTTATGTTCATTGTGTAATCGTGCATGCAAGCTCATTCCAATCTACCCAGCAGGTGGTCAGGACTGTGCTACTATACTAACACAGTCCTGACCCCATCTTATCTTCTATACATTGTGATATTTTTAATGCTTGTGGTATCCCCAACTATATAATTATTGAATACATACATTTATATCTCTAAAACACACTTTTCTTCTGAGTTAGATGTGTATGCTAAACTGACCCTGCTGTCATGTAGGCATATTCCAGACATTCAGATTAATATGTACAAAGTTAACCCATACCACAAAACAAATTAGATCCTTCCTCTTCCTCATCTCTAAAGTTTGCATCACCGAATGTCCAAATTCTATATTGATATGTTCTAATTTATATTTCAGTGTTTATATATTTTATTTATATATTTACATATTCAAATATTTATACATTATATCTCTCATTATATATACTATTTTGTATAACTCATTATTTTATTACTAAATCTTTTTACTTTTATTGTAAAGTATATCTTAATGTGCTTTTGTACTTCTCCACTTTTACTATACTAACCATGGGCTGGAGCGATATCACAGCGGTAGTGCATTTGCCTTGCAAGCTGCCCGGCCGGCCGAGCCAGGTTCGATTCCTCTGCCCCTCTCAGAAAGCCCGGCAAGCTACTGAGAGTATTTCGCTCTCACGACAAAGCCTGGAAAGCTACCCGTGACGTATTCGATATGCCAAACACAGCAACAACAAGTCTCACAATGGAGATGTTACTGGACCCGCTCGAGAAAATTAATGAACAACGGGAGGACAGTGCTACTATACTAACCATATTATCCTATCTGGACTGCTATAATATTAGCTACTAATACCATTTACCCCTTCCAGGACACAGCTTAATAAATTCTTTATAAAGTCACCAAGAGCGTTCTTTTAAAATGGAAATCTATCATTTAGTCCCCCTGTTAAAAAATCTTCAGGGGAAGGCAATATGAAGTGATAGTATAGTGGGTAAGGGCTCTTGAGGCCAATCAGGGTTTGATCTCTGGCATCCTATACAGTCCCTGAAGCACCTCCAGGGGAAATTCCTGATTACAGTCTGAGGAGTAACCCCTGAGCATCTCCAGATTTGCCCAAAAAGCAAAACAAAACAAAAACACAACCAAACCGAATCCCAAAACAAACCTTCAGGTACTTTCCACTGTATCTAAAAAGTAAAATCTTCATACTTTTCCATGTACTATTTGAACTGTATGCTCTGTTCTGGTCACTACTTACATTTCCAGTCTTATCGGTAAATGCTTTTCCTTGGCTCACTGATCAACAAGGTCTGTATTAATTTATTTGAATATGCCAGACTTTCCCCTTTTGAGTTAATGTATTATTAACACTGCCTAACATTCTTTCTTCTCTTTACCTACCTGAGTACGTGTATTTTAGATTTCAGTCTGAATATTATACTTTTGGGATTTTCTTCTTTACCTATCCAAGATAATTTTGACCATTTGATTTATTAGCAAATACATGTAAATTTGAAGTGTTCAATGTTTAAATTTTTTACATTTATATATCATAGGATTGTTATTATTACAGTAATTATCTCCCTGTCACATCACATTATTCTCTTATTTAGTCCCCTCCCCTAGTATTTCCTCAGCATATATTATATAATATTTCTACATAGTCTTTAATAGGAAATCTTTCAACTAAATTGTTTACACATTATATTCTAAATTTCCCTAAATTTTGTACCACCAAGGGAACAGAGATCTTTGTAATCTCCACAGTGGAGTATTCATAACCTAATGTAGTTCTTAAATACCTTTTTTGGAGGGGTTTGGGCCACACCAGTCTATTCATGGCTCACTCCTGGCTCTACTTAGAGTACCATGTGGTGCCTTACCTGCTGTACTGTATCTAAAGCCTAATTCTTAAATATTAATCTCTAGTAAAATTTAAATGAATAATGAAAGGAATCATGGGCTGTAAATAATTTGACTTTATGTAAGTGTACACTGGCCAGTTTATTTCGCTATAGAGTTTAAACTGACTTATGTTAATTATTCAGACTGGCTAATCTTTCAGAACATTGTGATAAATTCGATTAACTGATCTTTTTTGTGCCATTGCCTGTTTTCATGCATACTCTTACCTACAACTATTGCCTACAACTTTCATTTTTCTTTTCAGGGAGAACCAGGTAGTGTAATCATGTCATCACTACCAGGACCAAAGGGTAATACGGGATATCCAGGTCCTCCCGGAATACAAGTAAGAATGCAGTGGTTTTTATTTTTCAATATTAATTATGTAAGATCATTGTATTGATTTTCCTCTTAATATTTAGTACCTTCTATATTTTGATAGAAATTATCATATGTAATTTAATAAACATTTTATGTACCTTGTACTTTAAAGTAAAGGAAATCTGGGTCAGTGATAATTTTAAGAAGTGTTGCTTTTTTATTTCACTTTTCTGTCTAAATTCCATGAATATTTTTTTTGGAGTCTGGCATCAGAGATAGACTTCTGTTTTGTATTCTTGTGCCATGTAGATATTAAGAATAGTACTATAACATTTTCAAATTTAAAATTATATCTTCTATTTAATATAAACATCATTTGTAGCACTGTCAATAATTCACTTATTTTGAAGACTTACTAGATGCATACTGAGCATGTCAGAAGTATATAGTTTGCCTGTTATATAACATATACAGAGAAAGCAATAACATTTTTTTATTTTTCTAGTGAAACACCATGAGGTACAGTTGTAGATTTACAATTTTTTGTGCTTGGGTTTCGATTATACAATGATCAAATACCCATCCCTCCACCAGTGCCCATTTTCCACCACCATGGATCCCAGTATCCCTCCCACACCCATCCCCCCCATCCCACCCTGCCTCTGTGGCAGGGCATTCCCTTTTGTTCTCTCTCTCCTTTTGGGTGTTGTGGTCTGCAAAAGAGGCATTGAGTGGCAAACATGTTCAGTCCATAGTCTACTTTCAACATGCATCTCCCCTCCTGGGAGGATCCTCCAAACACCCTTTATTTGGTGCTCCCTTCTCTCTCTGAGGAAAGCAATAACTTTTGAGTATTAGTGGGTTCAGAGGAAAGTTTCTTAAGCATAAGTATTCATCATTTTGCATGAAAAGCAGTACTTTCTAATGTTTTATCACTAAAAAATATGTCAGTAACTATTTTAACTAAATTCTCATTCTGGACTTTATAAACCTCTAACTATTCTCAGTGTCCTTTATGTTTCACAAATTTTGTTATGCAGTAGTTTTAAGTATAGCAAAATAAGTGAAAATATACATACATAATGAATCATCAACATCAAATGAACCAAATACATTCTTATCAATTAGAATATTACAAATAATTTCGAATAAAGCTTGGATTCCTTGGTAGCATAATTTTGCATTCTCTCTAGATTTAATTCCCATCATGACTTTCCAATACTTTTAAAATGTAATTAAATATATATTAATAGTTTCACTTTTTTGGGGGGGGTTCACACCTGGCGATGCACAGGGGTTACTCCTGGCTCTGCACATAGGAATTATCCCTGGCGGTGCTCAGGGGACCATATGGGATGCTGGGAGTCGAACCCTGGTTGGCCACATGCAAGGCAAATGCCGTACCCACTGTGCTAGCACTTCTGTAGGGTGTTTGCCTTGCGTGCAGCCAGCCCATCAGAGCTAAGTTCGATTCCTCTCCACCCCCTCAGAAAGCCTGGCAAGCTACCGAGAGTATTCAATATGCCAAACACAGTAACAACAAGTCTCAAAATTGAGATGTTACTGGGCCTGCTCGAGCAATTCGATGAACATCGGGAGGACAGTGAACAGTGACAATAGTTTCACTTTAAAATCATATATAGTTTTTTGCAACTTTTTCTAGTTGATATGTTGACGCATTCAAATTATCATATGTGGCTCCACTTTACAGTTTCACTTTCATATAACATTCCACTGTGGAATTGTACTATTAGTGTCCAGTATCAAAAGACCGTACAAAGCAATGAGCTTTACAGTATAAAGATTTATTCAGCACAAGTCAAGCAATCATTGAGTTGAGAAAGCTGAGAGGGCTGACTGGTGAGGGCCGTCCCCTCTAGTAGGAGAGCCAACCCTCCTTTGTTCTTGCACCCAAATATCCCTGGTTTCTGCAAGTTGCTCAGTTCTTCGTGGTCTAGCTTTCTTCCTGGTTACCTTTAACTTGATTGGCCACCTCCAGCTGGTTTGTATTGCGCCAGTGTTGTCTCAAACTCCTATTGGTTGTTACCACGTGGGGGTTCATGTCTAATCTCTTTCCAAGGACTGGCCAGTGAAGGTTTCCACATCCTGCTGTGTGTCAGGGTTTCTAGCTAACTCTGTAATCCTGAGATATGTCTCAAGGCCATGGTCATGTTCATACAAATTTTCCACTAAACAAGCATTGGGTGCAGAATGACTGCCAGCTAAAAATGGTGGTGTTTATGCTATGCTGAAAAATTCCTATTTTCTCTGTCAGTACCGTACCTTATTTCTTTAATTCCTTGTTGTTGGATATTTGTGTGATTTGAAGATTTTTTTGTTTTTGTTTTTGTGTCTCAACTGGCAGTGTTAAGGAGTTACTCACAATTCAGTGTTTGGAAGTTGTTCCTAGTATTGCTTGGAGGATGATGCAGTGCTGGGAGCAAATTCAAGCTTCCTACATGCAAAGCATGTGTACTAAATAACCCTTGGACATTATTTTAAGAATTACAAAAGAAACCAAGATGTAGGTATAGAATTTTCACCGTTTTAAGATCCTGATTTTTTTCCACAATAATCACATCATTTCATTATCTTTTTGCCCAGTCATTCATTCTTTCTTGCTTGTCTTTAAGTTTATTCATTTTTTTATTTTAAAAGTAGGCATTTTGGAACTATTACATTTTCCTTCCCCACATGTAGTTTTAAAACTCCACTAAATAAATGTCCATCTTTATCACTATGTTTTATAAAATTTTCTTATTATGTGCTCCCACAGTTGTTATATACCACTGTAAAACTTGTTTTATAATGCTGCATCCATTATATTTAGATTTCTTTATAATTGATCATTTTATTCTTAGTCTTTCTAAATTTCAATGCATGTTACTACAGAATTATAGAATTGTAAAACATAATTATCTACTACTGTGAGTTTAAATTCTATTAATTTAGTCCTTTGTGCTGCATAGTGAGATTTTCTTTTTCTTCATTACAACAGGGTCCAGCTGGTCCTACTGGTATACCAGGACCAATGGGTCCCCCAGGACCACCAGGTTTAATGGTAAGCTTACTTCTGTAATTTCATTCTCCTTATTTAAATTTTTTTCACAAAATCAGTATTATTTAAATTACATGAAAGTATAGTGAATTTAATTGTCCATAATGTATGCTTTTCGTATGGTATATTTTCAGTGTGGCAATACTAAATAGTAGTTCAGTTTTGCAGATGGAAAAATGTGGCACAGTAAAGGCAATACTTAATATAGGGTACTTTATTGGTTAATTCCTGATGTTGCAATATTGAAGTTAATCCTAGCCATTTCCTGAAGTCTTTTAAGACTTATCTAGTCACTTGATAAAGCATGTTGTACAAACTGCAGTTTTCTCTTTCACAAAAATAAAAGAAGATATTCGCAAAAAAATACCTGCTCTTATTCTTCAGGGGCCTGGCAATTAAACAGTAGGATTTGTATAGATAGTAGATCATCCTGAAATGAGATAAAGATTTGTATACACTAGGATGAAAACAAAAACTAGTCTCAGAATGTACAGCCCATTTTCTTACTTTGCTATTACTATGATCACTGATATTTTCTACTCTAATAAATTTGAAGTATTTTTATCCCTGAAATATTTCGATTTCATTCAAAACATGTCTTGGGCTGGCCCTCCTAAAAGGGTAAGAAAATTGTACTACATGGGAAGCAATTTCTCCTGTGCCACTCTCTCATCTAGCATATACTTAAGTGACAGTTTTCATTATGCTTTTGTAGATTGTACTTTTTTGCTTCTGACAATTGGTTCTTTATTTTTTTTAAATGATTGAAATAACATTTTGCAAATACTACATGAATCTACTTGGGAAGACTGTGATTTCTGCTATACTAGAATTCTTTCATGAAGTATTAGAAACCCCTTTCTTCATTTTTTTGTTTTTTGGTTCTGGGGCCACATCCAGTGGTGCTCAGGATTTATTCCTGGTTCTGCACTCATGAGAGTTGAACGATGGCACTTTTGTTCCACCATTGATATACACTAGGTTTGTTGTTATACCTAAAATTTTCTTACTTTTGGGCTCTGTAACTGACTCACTCTATACTTCATTTAATCCTAATTCAACACATGTAAAAAGTCTTAGAATACCACCAAGTTATAGTATGTAAATAGAAGTCCATTTAGATTAAGCAGTGATATACTTGGAGAAATGCTTATCTAACTTTCAACCTTGAAACATTAAAAAAATGGCTCTTTGGGTTGCATCTGGCTATGCTCAGTGGTTATTTCTGGTTCTGCACTCAGGAATTACTCCTGGCGGTTCTTAGGAAACCATATGGGATGCCAGGAATCAAACCTAGCTCACCCACATGCAAGGCAAACACCCCCACCCCTGCTGGACTCTGCCCCCCCCCCCAATTTTTAAAATTATTTCTATAGAGATCATTCTTAGTAGTGATGGAGACCTGGAGCCACAATGATGCACAGGAGCCACAAATGCTATAGTTGGAGTGCTTTGGGGAACGTGTGGTACTGATTATCAAACTGAAGACCTCACACACCCTAGGAATGTGCCTTGCCATGAACTATCTCCCTGATTATGAACATTCTCAAATATGTAAAGCCAGATCAAATAAAAATTAAAATGGATTTGAAAAATAGACATGCTTTTAAAGATTAACAATTGGAGCCCTTCCCTGCCAAAGCCCTGGCAGCTGCTCTTACACCCAACAGCCACCAACATGCAAATGGTTCAACTTCACTGCATCTCGACTATCTTTGCATATGTGCCAATCTGATAAAAAAAATTCTGGCTATACTGATTTTTGGGCAGACAACTGTGGAGTCTTGGAAGTGAAGGGAGACAGCCTCTGCCCTGTAACTCTCTCTGTACTGCTGGAAGACCCAACAGCAATATTCATTCCCTATAGCTGCCACTATATAAACAACAGCACAGTTTCATGACTAACCTAGGAAGAGATGCAAGCTAAAACTCACGGGTACACTGGTTTGGGTGCTGAAAATTCTGGGGCTTTCTTGGGAGGGAGGCGCTCTGTGTCTCCAACCTGCTAAACTCCTGACAGTCATACCCTTCCCACCACGGACACAGAATGGAAGTTGCCCAAATTCACTGCTTTACAACTAATCACTTTCAGATATTCCAAGATGACAGAAATTCCAGGTACACCGGTTGGGGCCTGAAAACTCTGAGGTTTTCTTGGATTGAGTGTGGGCATCCTTGGCCCTGCTCTTCTACTGCTCTAAGCCCCAGCAGTCATACACCCACAGTCACCATTTAAGACTGCCAAATTCAACAATACTGACAACCCATTATGAGAACACCAAATTAGATGGGAACGTAGAATAGAAGCCAACTAACTCAATAAAACAATAACATAGAAGACTCAACTAGCAATTAACAACTTAGTAAAACTTCAATGACTTCAATGACCCCCTAGTAAGAGTAATAAGATGTAAGTATTTTATATTACCATTAGCCATTTTGTTGTAATGAGCAACATAAAATAAATTATTTTGTGCCTCCTAAGAGGGCAGTCTTGGAAGTGGGTGAGAAGCAGGAGAATGGTGGAGGGAATGTCACACTGGTGGGTGTCAGAATATTGAGTGACCGAAACAATTGTATTGTGAATACCCTTGTAAACTACAGTGTTTCAATAAAGTTAAATTTAGAAATATGATTTAAGGATTAATTGCCTATTGGTACCTAAATTTAGTTCTAAATCTTAAATGATAAATTTGATGTTTGTTGAAGTTAAATTATGTGTTCATTTTTAGCACTGGTGTTACTTCTCTGCTTTTACCCATCTTTCCATTTATTTCCCTGCCAAATTGTCTCAGTTCATCAAATATTTCCATATTCATCTAGGTTTTTGAGGGAGGGGACAGAGCCACCTGTCCTTGGAAGTTACTCCTATATCAGTGCTTTTAGTTTCTCCCAGTGGGTCTCAAGAAACCATAAAGTGCCAGGGATCAAACTCAGTGCCTCACATACAAAACAATTGCTCCACTAGTGAGCCACACCCTTGCCCCATCTAATTTATTTTAATAAATTCAGATACATACCACCAAATAAAAACATGAATAAAAATATTATTATTATGGGGATCATACCCAGCAATGCACAGGGGTTACTCCTGACTCGGCACTCAGGAATTACTCCTTGCGCTGCTCAGGGGGTCATATGGGATGCTGGCAATCGAACCCAGGTCAGCTACGTGCAAGGCAAACGCCATACCCGCTGTACTATCGTTCCAGCCCCAGAAAAATATTATTTTTAAAGGCTTTTTTAGTCGTCACTTTTTGTGAAATAAAATAAGCTTAATAAATCTAACATTTTTTACTTTTCTATATTTTTTTATTTTCAGGGTCCTCCTGGTCCACCAGGACTTCCTGGACCAAAGGTAATTTTCTACTTCTTTACATATTTTATTCTGTGTTGCTTTTTATGCTGTTGTCAATGAGATTTTAAATGCAAAATTTTCTCTTCAGGGCAATATGGGCTTAAATTTCCAGGGACCCAAAGGTGAAAAGGTGAGTAAATAGAGTTGATAACTCAGCCCACAGTTTTCTCCTTTGAGATTTGCTCATATCTCTTCCCTTCATTTGTTGGTTGCATTGTATGTTATTACTTTTTACATGTAACTTATTCTATTAACAGGGTGAACAAGGTCTTCAAGGGCCCCCTGGACCACCTGGGCAGATCGGTGAACAGAAAAGGACAATTGATCTAGAGTTTCAGAAAGGAGATCAGGTGAGTAGAGAGCGAAATCAATGTAAATCATGCTATTAGTGGCCTTATATTAAAATTAATTAAAAAATCAGAAAGTTGTTACATGTGAAGGTAGTTTAAAATTACAAACTTTTGAGATAATCAGAATTATATAAAGCTTTATTAGATATAATTTATATATCATAAAATTTACTCATTTAAAGTATCCAATTCTTTTCTTTTCAGCATATGCACAGGTCATTGAAGCCATCAGTACAGTTTTATTTTAGAACATTCTCATCATTAACCCCAAGCTTCACACCAATGAATTGTCATTCCCTTCTTCAAACTTTCTTTTTTTATTTTTTAATTTTTATTAGTGAAACACCATAAGGTACAGTTGTAGACTTACAAATTTTTGTGCTTGGGTTTCAGTTATACAATGATCGAGTACCCATCCCTCCAAGCCCTAAACAACACAAATCTACATTTTTACTCTGTACAGTTGGCTATTCTACACTTTGCATAAAAATTGCAATCATATAATATATAAATCTTCCTTGTCTACCTCTTTTTACTTAGTAAAATGTTTTCAAGTTTTTTTCATGTCACAACGTATATATGTACTTTTTCATTTTTTATTATTAAACCACATTTCTTTGTCTATATGTTCCACATTTTGTTAATCTGTTAAACAATTGATGGATATAGGAATTGTTTTCATTTAAACTATAATGAATAATAAAATGATGTACAAAATTGGGTTGTTTTGACTAGAGCATGTAATGGAATCAACTTTATTTTTGTAGCATGATGTTCCACCTTTGAATTCAGTTTATGCATTGTTTTAATGCTAATGGGAAAATAAGGAATAAGAAAAATGTATTGAAATCTTATTATGAGTATGGATTAGGCAATTTAATCTTTTCCCCAAATATATGTGTGTCGTATAATCCTCAATTTTTAGGTATTCTCGGTCTTCATTCTGTAGTATTTTTGTGGTAGATTCAAACCTAGGACTACACACATACTTATGTGTTCTACTGCTTAACCATATTCTTGATTTTGTAAACTATTTCATAAAATGAAGATTTGTTAATACTTTTAAATGTTGTCATCTTATCATTTGCTTGTGAATTTGGGCTATAGATAACACTAGATATTTTCTGAAGCAAACAAAGGTGGCTCTAGGTCCTTTGACTTATTAGCATACTTCAGCTTTCATTTATAAACATTCTGATGTATTTGGTTTTACTCCTTGAATTTGTAGTTCAGTTTGTGAAAAGTATTTCTAGAGAGCTTTAATTTAAGCAGTATGAATATTTTTCTTTTTTCCCCTACTATCACTTAGGGACTACCCGGTGAGCAAGGGCCCCCTGGACCTCCAGGAATACGTGGTCCTCCAGTAAGTAGCCAAAAATGCTTCTATGTCATTTAATATAAAGTAGTAGTGATATAAAGTACTCTATCAACTGATATATAAAACAATTTTGTGTTTATAGGGTCCTCCAGGGGGTGTGAAGGGTGAGAAAGGTGAACAAGGAGAACCAGGCAAAAGAGTAAGTATTATGACTACTAATTGCAAAACATTTTAAGAATTGTATGTATGTGCAATTGGGTTAAAGCTTCCTAAATCCTATATCTTACTTTCATTGTCATAGTCAACATATTCTCTTATTTGTGATAATATTGAAAAAATTTAAATTTAATGTTATCCAAAGTAGGAATAAAGTTTATTGTATTCTTCAACATCTTACTTCTTAAATAACAAATTTATTTTATTTCATTTTTTAATCCTATAGGGCAAACCAGGAAAAGATGGAGAGAGTGGTCAGCCAGGAATTCCAGTGAGTATCTAAAGTCCTTCTTCAAGTCTCAAACTCCCTCCCACCAAAAAATATTCCCTGAAATGGCAACATTTATAAATGGTATTAAGAAAGCAGAATAACTAAAGAGGCTTGGTTTTATAGTTTAAATGAAAGTATATTTTTCTTTTCTGGATATAGATTTGAAATTCTATTTTTTAAAAAAGTCAAATTTATTGACATATACTTTGCATATTTAAAGTGAACCATTTTAAGCCCGTAGTTCTGTTTTGGCAATTGAATGCTTTTAACTATTTTACAAAAAAATCAAGAACAAAATTCCCCTGGTATTCTTCAGTACATAGACGCAGACTGCTAAAGTTTGTATGGAATCATAAAACTCTCTGAATTGCCAAAGCAAATTCAATATGAAGCATTGGAGTTGCTGACCTTAAACTATATTGTAAATCTGTAACAATCAAAACAGTATAAAACTAGAATTAAAGTAGACTCTCTGACCAGTGGAACTTAATTGAAGTCCCAAAAGTAAATCCCCAGATATGTGGGCAGTCAGGTAATCAGAATAGAGCTAGGTACATTGCATAGCAATTTCAAGAACTGGGATTGTGATAGTTGGATAGTCACATGTAAAAACAATGAATTTTAACTCCTCTCTCACACCACATAAAAAAAATTCAAAATTGATTAAGACCCTCAATATTAGACCCAAATTCATAAAATAACCTTAAGGAAACATAGGCAGAACTCTACATGACTGACCTCAGAGAAGTCTCCAGTAATTCAGTCCCACTGACACTGAAAATTAAAGCATAAACAAACAAGTGGGACTACGTCAAACTAAGAAGTTTCCACACAGAAAAGGAAATAATAGTTAATATCAAGAGACTCCTTACTGAATGGGAGAAAATATTGTCGGAGGGCTAATACACAAATCTATAAAGCACTCACAAAACTCAACAACTGCACATAATTTCATTGAAAATGAAGAGAAGAGCTGAACAGACCTTCCTTATATGACCAACAGGCATATAAAAATGTTTATCATCGCTGATTATCAGGGCAATGTAAATCAAAATAATAATGAGATATTTCTTTATGCCCATGACATATATTAAAAAAAAACATACAGTGTTAGTGGGGTGTAGTGGTAAAGGAATTCTCATTCATTGTTGGTAAGTTCTTGACTAGCTCGGTCACTGGGTCACTGTATAAACTATGGTGACTATTCAAGAAATCTTAAAATATAAATCTGTTACACCCAGCAATTGCATTTTGTAGCAAATATTCCTAGAACACAGAAATTTTACATTAATATTACATCATATTCTTCGCATTACTCTTTATTATAATCAAGGTCTGCAAATAACCCAAATGTCAACAATAGCTGAGTTAATAAAAAATGTAGTATACACAGTGGAATGGTACTCTCTTGCCTTTTGTGACAAAAGTTGGAGCTGGATGATTTCATGTTAAGAGAAATCAAAGGGAAAAGGACAGGTGCTAAATGATATCACTCATGTGATCTGTAAAGATATAAAGCAAGTGATAGTTTTCAGTGAAAAGCACATTCTTTGATTTTGACAGTAGAACTGAGATTACCAAGTTCAGATGAGAGTGAAGGTTTGGTGGCTGGTGATTGGGAAGGAAGTATCATAAGTAGTAGTAGGGGTCTTTGGAAATTTGGTGATGGTAGTGGTGCAGTAACATTCTTTGAAAGCGTTGATATTATCACTTCTGTAACCATGTTGCCTCAATAACTATCAATATTTATGAAAAAACAGAGGAAAATAGAATATTCCAATGGGCCCTGTGATGTAGCTCAGGGCTAGGTTCTTGGTTTATTTTGTGTTTATTTCATAATTTAGGCAGCAAAATTTATTTATTTATTTTAATTTATTTATTCAACAATTGCTTCTGATTGTTTTCCACGGATATATTAGGTTGAGAAAGGGGGCAGAATAATGTATTACAGGAGTTCAAAAAACATCAAATAAAAAAATCATCATGCAAATGAGGTCTTCTTAGAATCCTCAGACAGGTCAAACAATTACATTTCTGTGGAAATGGAGCTTTAAAGAACTCCCATCCACCCTGCTCTTTTTCTACTAATTGCTGCTAGTTTTCATTTTGTCATCTAGCTGCTGGCTTTAAAGGTACTGAGAAGAGAAAGTAGAAATGGATCCCTTACAAAGGGAAAAAATTCGTTTTAACCAAGATTTAGTGTTCTTTTTTTTAAATCCCAGCAAAAGTCTGTTTTGCTGCAAGCCTATGGTTAACTTCTTAGAGTTTTAAACTTGTTTTTTGGTAGTTTTTGCCATTGGAAAAATGGAGTAAAAGGCATTTGGAGATCTTGTTTCATCATTTTTATTGATGTTGCTCTGTCTTCTATGTTTTAAAGGGTTTGCCAGGTGATCCTGGTTACCCTGGTGAACCAGGAAGGAATGGAGAAAAGGTAAGAATTATAATATTGTAAAATAGAAGGTTTTATTTTAGTAAACATAATATTTTTCTCACCCAAGTTTTCATTATAAATGAAAAAGTTATTAACAGTTTAACTTTTATATTCATCATACTTTTTTTTGCCTATCTTTTAATTCATTGTCCTAAGTCATAGTTGATTTTGTTGGTGTCATACCAACAGTTATTTAGCTTTAATGTTTTTCCAATTTGTAAAACTGGTGCCTTTAATTTGAGCATATATCAGCAAAGGTTATCTTTTTTTTTTAATTTATTTTTATTTAGTGAGACACCATGAGGTATAGTTGTAGATTTACAAATTTTGTGCTTGGGTAAGTATCATGGAAAGTATCATGTTAAGTGAAATGAGTCAGAAAGAGAGGGATAGATATAGAAAGATTGCATTCATCTGGGGAACATAAAGTAACAAAATATGAGACTAACACCCAAGAATGGCCGAGATTAGTACCAGGAATTTTGCTCCATGGCTTGGAGGCCAGCCACACATACTAGGTAAAAGGCAGCTCAGATAGAGAAGGGAGCACCAAACAAAGGTTATCTTTTATGGAAAGAGTATTGAGCATTATTTTAGTGAGGTCCACTTACCAAACATTATAAAATTTCCATTGTATAGGTAACTATTGTCTGGAAGTTTGTCACTCATTTTGTCAAATTCTTTTTTACATTTGGATATGCAACCTGTTTTAAATAGTTACCTATTTTTGTTTATATTGGTTTTGAGGCCACACCGAGACCTGCTCTGGGGGTATTCTTGGTTCTGTGCTTAGGGATCACTCCGTTTGGAGCTTGGGTAGTTACCTATTTTAAAAGTGATTTTCAAAGAATGTATTAAAGCACTGATTCTCATATTTATACCAGATCACAAAATATCTAGTTTTCTAATCAATCTGATCTCTAATTGTTGCATATTAAAACAAAAATTGAAAGTTTAATTTTGCCAGAAATGGCATTACAAATTTGAATATGCAAAGAACAAGTATTCTGATATTAGTTTAACTCAGAAAGAGGTCCTAATTCTATCTTGGCCTAAGAAACATAGAATAAAAGAGATAATAAATACTCATATATAAAATAGTATTTAAAATAATATTATCAATCACAATCACAACCATCCTGTTATTTGTCGATTGCCTCGAGCAGGCCCGAGTAACGTCTCCTTCATCCTAGCCCTGAGATTTTTTTTAAAAAAGTGCCATATTCAAGGCTCTTTCAGAGTTAGGAGATTGAGACCCTTCATTGTTACTGGTATTTGGCATATTGGGTACGCCACAGGGAGTTTGCCAGACTCTGCTGTGTGGGCAGGTTACATTCGGTAGCCTGCCAGTTTGTCCAAAGTAGGAATGAGATGATAAGATGTCGCGGCCGCGTGGTTCTGGGAGCTGAGTTTTATAGTCTCTGAGTCTTGGCCGTTGATGGGATTACACGGCGCCAGGGGGCCAGTTGGTGGGTGTGAGCCCCGCCTACTGGAATTTGGAGGATCTGGGTGGAGGATGCTCGGCCCAAATCCAAGTGGGCTTGGAGATCTCAGCCCCAGGATCCACGTGCCTTTGTTCCTCTGCCAGTACCTTCATGTGTGCGGAGAGTGGGCTCAGCATGGTCGTGGCTGGTTCTGGAGGTCTTCGGCTGCCGGAGCCCTGGTCGGGGTGGGGAGGAAAACTCAACCTGCTCCCCTCCAAGGGGCCCCGGCAAGGGCGAGGACAGCCAGGCGCGGGGGCAAGAGACTGTGCGCTGTTCTCTTCCGGGAGCTGGGTTCCTAAAAATAATATTATAGGATGCAGTAATTAAAGCAAAAGGAACCTGTAGGTTGATGAACGGTTATTATGAATGTGTATCATGGAAATGAAGGTGAGAGAGACATCTATTATTGGAATTACTCAGTAAAGTAATAATACACTACTGTATTCTTCGTATTGTTGTAGCTACTGATTAGGAACTCAGTTTTATCTGAACTTGTCTTTCATTTACTTCTAAGAAGTCATAAAAGTAATTACAATTTGTAGTTTGGTGGAAGTTGAGTCCATTAGTTCTGAAATGCACATCCCTAATGTAATGACATGAAACTTGATGCTTTTGAGAGGGTTTTTGAAAAGAAACATTCAATTAACAGCATTCTATTTGGTCCCCTGAGCACCGACAGGAGTATTTCCTGAGCGCAGAGCCAGAAGTAACCCCTTTGCATCGCCAGGTGTGACCCAAAAAGCCAAAAAAAGAGTAATGCTTTTTTTTTAACAGATCCTGGGTACCACTTTTGTATTCAGCATCTTCTAAAATAGACTTTTCATAGTTTGCGAGAAAATAGGAATCTTTACATCAAAGAATATTATAGTTTTAGAAGGCTGGTGTATTTATCATGCAGAGAACTTAACTTATTCAAGATTAAAGAGAATATAAATTTGAAATAGCATCACAGGTATTCCTAGCCTTATCTCCATACTGTATCATTATGTCATGGTGTATTTTCTTTTGACATTTTATTACAAATTTCTGAATTTCTGTGAAATTTTGTTATCTGTTATGTTTTAAAGAAAATTAATATTTCCATATGACTTTTTCATTAATCTATTTTATAATTGTATTGAACAGGGCCAAAAAGGTGACATTGGTCCAACTGGGCCTCCAGGACTTGTAAGTTTTTTATTATACTTTTCATTTGTAAGATTTATTAATGTATATATTATCTGTCTTAACTATATGGCCTATATCTTTAAAAGGTAAAGGTAAAGGCTCTCCCGTTGATCGTCGATTTGCTCGAGCGGGCCCAGTAACGTCTCCATTGGAGACTTTGTTGTTACTGTGTTTGGCATATCGAATACTCTTGGTAGCTTGCCGGGCTCTCTGAGAGGGGCGGAGGAATCGAACTCGGGTCGGCCATGTTGGCCGCTTGTAAGGCGAACGCCCTACCGCTGTGCTATCGCTCCAGCCCTGGCCTATATCTTTAAATTCTAAAATTTAAAGTCAATATCATCTTGCATGGTCTCAAAACTCTTTACGTTTTAAATCTTCAATGATGCTAATCTTAAAATCTTTATATTGTTCTGTCAGTGTGTTACTTCTCTATGGTAAAGATCAAAAGTATGGCAGTGGGTTGTTTGCGTCATGATTGCCAAATTAATTTTCAAATAACCAGTAGGTGGTGCACGTGTTGCTTGCAAGTATTCAAAAAAGAAACTGCCGATGAACTAAGTATTGGTCCTCTCCTATGCAGAGCATAAGGAAAAGACAGGCCTGTTTTTCTTAGTTTGTAATGGTCTGATTCACACTTCTTTCTTCCCTAATCATATGCTTTCTTGGGACTTTTAGTGGCAAATATAGAAAAATGACACATGAAAGGATAAGTAACAATAAAATACAAGGGCCAGAGTGATAGTGTAGTGGGTAGGGTATCTGTTTTATACATGGCCAACCCGAGTTCATTCACTGGCACCCATGTGGTTCCAAAATCCCACCAGGAGGGAACCCTGAGTGCAGAGCCAGGAGTAAGCCCTCATCACCAGGTATGCCGCCCCCCCCTCCACCCCGCTGTGGCTTGGTATATTAATTCTTCTTGGTTTAAATTCTGTAAGACTTTGTCTTTATATTGTATTGAGACTTCAAATAGTCAAGTGACATAAATCCGATATATTGAACCATTTGAGTGACATTAATTCTTGTCCACAGTGAGCCTCAGATATCGATATTAGTACCACACCAAATCTAAAAAGAATATGCTTGAAGGATATTTTAAAGACTTTTTATGACTTTAATAATAAAATGTTTCTTTATAACAAGATAATAAAATTTTGCTATTAGAAGAAATGGAAATTTTGATAGCACAATCATCTATAAATACCTGAGATGGAGAGGTTCTTAAATACAAAGTTATTTATCTTTATAGAACTATGAAGTAAATTTATTTTTATTTAGTATATTTAGTATAAAATTCATTAAAAACTCTGATTCTAAGAGAGTGAAAGGGAATGATCCCTTGCTTATTTTAATGAAAAAATCTCAAAGAGATAAGTTCTCTCTTTTTAGAGGAATAAATATGTTAATTGATAAAGGGAAAGATTGAGTGTTAGGAATAACAAAAAGCAAAGATAGACAAGAGTGCAAGTTGCATGAAGTGACTATAATCTGCAGACCTCACTTTACTAAGAATTCACTGCAAGAAATAGAAAAAAAATCTGTGAGAGGTATTGAAAGTGAGAAATAACTTGACATAGCTTAGGGTTAAAAGTAGATCACATAAAAGGTAGTAAGGCCAAATTGATAGTACAGAGGTAGGGCACTGCCTTGCATGTGGCAGACCCGGATTTGATGCCTAGAACCGCATATTCTCGCTTGAGCCTACCAGAAGTGATCCCTGGTTCCAGAACCAGAAATAAGCCCCAAGCGCTGCCAGGTTTAGCCCAGAAACTAAAGAAAAAAAGTAGTGAACAATTTCTATCTTAAGATAGTTAACACAAAAAAGTAGTTTTTTAAGGAAGCATATACACTTCCTTTAAGGGATACACTCTTAGGTCATGCATGAGGTGAGGATAGTAGCCATGGTTACAAGAGGAAAAGGGAGGAAAATGGAGAGACAGTGACAGTAACGATTACTAGGTTTAGGAACGGAGCAATAGTATAGTGGGTAGGGCACTTTTCCTTACATGCAGCTAATCCAGGTTCAACTCTTGGCGTCTTATATGGTCCCCTGTGCCCTGCCAGGAGTAACCACTGAGCATCACCAGATATTGCCCCCCCCCAAAAAAAGAATAGGCTTTGGTGATAACAAATAAATTTAATATGAGTTATAAGAGACATCAAACAACTAGTTTTGTAACTCTACTTAGAAGAATGGTAATATTATCACTGGTTTGAAATAGTTTTGAATTGGATGAATGATAGAAATGATACAGTATGTTACTTAATCTATGTAGTAGTGGTGTTGTGATTGTTGTATCTGAATACTCTTGAGACATGTTGGTTCTGTTTCATATATATTTGATTTTTTCCAGGAGAACAAGCTCTTCTTATGAATTTATTTATTCTTCTCTAATCAAGGTAATTCCCAGGCCTGCAACAGGTGTAAATGTAGGAGAAAAAGGAAGCATTGGGTTACCTGGCTTGCCTGGAGAAAAAGGAGAAAAGGGATTTCCTGGTATACAGGGTCCACCTGGTCTGCCTGGGCCTCCAGGTAAAAGAAACTGTTCTTATATCCTGTGATCACGGTATATTTTCATTCATGTATTCATATTATTGTGGACCCAGAGAGAGGATTAAAATCTTAAATTCTTACTAGCTTTTCTCACTATGTCACATCTGTACCTAAAAAGAAAAGTGAAATCATTTAAGTAGTGCTTATTTCACCTTTTATTATTAATAAATAAAATAAAATTTTTGTGATCCAAAAATTAATCATTACATTTTAGTGATTTTATTGTCTATTTTATTTTTTCTATTTATTTTGTTTTTTATTAAAGCACCATGCTTTACAGAGTTATTCTTAGTTGAATTTTAGACATATTATATTGAAGCACAGATCCTACCACCAGTGTCAATTTCCCTTACCAGTGTTCCCAGGTTCACTCCCATATCCTTTTTCCCTTCAACCTGCCCTCTTGACTGATAACTTTTTAAATTCTGTTGTTCAAGTTAAGGTTCTTGATTTCAGTGTTGTTGACTCTGTGGTTTGGTTATTTGGCTCTATCATTCCTTAATACCAACTTTATACCTGACCTGGCCCCCATTGTATCTCATCTGTCTCTCCTTCCACTCTTCTCCACTCTTTCATTCCTTCTTCTCCATATACTCTGGATCCAAGGTTGATATGGGCATCCCTCACTTTAAAACAGGGAGTGCTATTCTAATGTGCCTGCTTGTATGAGAATTCCTGTATCAAAGTAGCAAGCAGCACATCTAATTAGAATACCAGAAGCATTTACTTATTCACTGCTTATTTTAGAATTCAATAAAATATTGTGTGGTCAGTAGAAGTTTTTATAATTCCCTGTTTAAAGATACACAGCATGGTAGATCATTTCAAATTTAGGCATAATTTGAGCACTGATCTTGTCTAGCAAAATTTCTGGAATATGAGGTGATCATACAGTTATATGTAAAATTCAAATACGATTTGATAGTATAACTGGCACAGAGACCATTTCCATAAATTATTTCCCTTTCCTTAAAATATATTTTGTTGAGATAGAGAGATTTTACAGAAGGTAAGATGCTTGCCTGGCATACACGTTTGATGCATCACACCACATACGATCCTTTTAGTACCACCAGAAGTCACTTCTCAGCACGATCCTAGATACTCCCTAAAGCAGGGCTGGATGTGACTCAAAACCCCAAAATATTTATTTGGATATTGATATAATAACATGATAAGATGAGTGACATTCAGTTTTCCTCCTAATAAGAGAACCAAATTGACATCATATTTGGCCTTAAGTATAAACTTCGGAGTCCTAATTCTAAGAGTAGACTGTACTGCAAATTGAGTTAAAGAATTATCCCAAGAGTAAAAACAAAGGGTTAGATAATATCAAATAAATATTAAAATAAAAATGGACAAAACTAAAAAGTTCCCAAATACATCATGAAGGAGTCAATATTTAAAACAGCAATGACTGAGTGTTTCTATTAGAAAAAAGATATGAGGAGTCACAAAGATAGTATTGGGGTTAAGACACTTACCTTGTATTTAATTGATCCTGGTTTGATTTCCAGCACTGTTTACGATCCCTTGAGATCCCCGGGAATAGCCCATGAGCACCACTGAATGTGGCACTTAAAGAAATAAATGATTCCCTGTGATAAGATTCATGAATTATTGTATAAGATTAAATAAGACTAACTCCCAAATACATAAACATATTAGAATAACAGTTCAGAATTGAAGGATATAAAGAAATTCAGCACTAAGAGAAAAGGCAGCACTTATAACTTTATAGGTGTAGGAGGATAACAGTGGAGAAGATTTTTAATGTGATTGGAAAAATAACTATGAATTTGGTATTCTGTAGAGTATATCACACTATTATCCTACTGTGAATATGAAATACTTATTTAGAAAGTTTATAATCTCTATAACTTCTCTGAAGTAGTTATTGGACTATTTCAAGAAGAAAGGTAGTTTAGGATGAATTTTGGCATGGAGTTAGGTGGGTAAAATACAAAGACCAATGTTTATGGAAAATGTGAATAAATTATTTTACTAAATAAATGTTGATCATCAAAAATATAGTGGGATTTTATTTTTTTGCTTTTTGGGTCAGACCAGGAGATGCACAGGGCTTACTCCTGGCTTTGCACTCAGGAATTACTCCTGGTGGTGCTCAGGAGACCATATGGGATGCTAGGACTTGAACCTGGGTCAGCCACGTGCAAGGCAAATGTCTTACCTGCTGTGCTATTGCTCCAGCCCCAACAGTGGGATTTTAACTACATGAAACTATAATTGCGGGCACTATTACCACAGAATGTAAAGGTGCATTGAGAATAGTGGGAAGTCACTCTATACACCATTTTTTCTTATTAGGTGATAAGATTAATTAATTATTGATTATTATTACTAATACATTACTTATATGTATTAATAACTTTCAGTGTTTATAAAATACAGTTTAAGTATATAGATTTAAATTTATTCATAACTTTTAAAGAATAATATAAGTAATATACAGCAACTGAGGAAAAAATGTTCAAAAGTCTTGATCTGCATAATACAGGTAAGATTGAGACAGACCATACAGAGATAAATTGAGTAAATAGAAAATAAAATATGAGATGACAAGAAATAAAGTTGCAATATAATATCCACATCCTGTGAACAAAACACAGCTAAAGTAGATGGACATGGAAAATTGAAATATAAGGCAATGGAAAGATTTATTAAAATATATTAAAATAAGCTGGTTTGCCAATATATTATTAAATAAAATATATTAAAGGAAGAGCTTATTATTACTGGATGTCTCATTGAGAACCAATGCATTATCCCTAAAGTATATCACTTAATTTAACTTTTTTCTGTTTTTGAGCCACATCTGATAATGTTCAGGACTTACTCCTGGCTCTGTTCTCCAGGATCAACCTTGGTGGTGCTCAGGGAACCATATTTGTATAGAGAATCAAAACTAGGTCTCCCATATATAATTCAAGCGTTTTACTCCTGTACTATATCTGCATCCAATAAGATCACTTTAATAAGATATGTTTTTTTTTTAATCTTAGGAGCTGCAGCTATGGGTCCTCCTGGCCCTCCTGGCTTGCCTGGAGAAAAGGGCCAGAAAGGTGATGAAGGTCTACCTGGAATTTCCATTCCTGGATCTCCTGGACTTGATGGACAGCCTGGACCTCCTGGCCTTCCTGGTCCTCCTGGGCCTCCTGGGCCTCCTGGTCCTCCTAGTAAGTTATTTTTACTCCAATAAAGTTATTTTGTTGGTTTATTAAATTTGTAAATAAACCTAACAAGGCTGTCATCATTTTTTGTATTTCTGATATATAGGAGATTACACTGCTGCATTTACTAGTCTTGGTATTTAAATATGCTCCTCAATTTATTAACAGTTTTGCCTATTGATATTGCAGAGAAGTAACTAAAAATCTTGCTAGCTTGACAGACTTTTTTGTTTAAGCTTCAAAATATTTCATGACAGTCAGTTTACTAGTGTTTATCTTATTTCAGGTGATGAGATTTGTCAGTCAGGCCCACCTGGTCCTCAAGGACCTCCAGGTGATAAAGGACTTCGAGGAGAACAAGGAGTGAAAGGTTTGACCTTCATATTCATTTCTTCATTTTTATAAATCATCAACAAATCTCCTATTTCCTACAGCATACCCAAGTTTCTCTGCCCAGTAGTTATACTCGAAAACCATCTCATTAGCAATAGTGTATGCTTCATAATCTTGACTTGGAGAATCTTATTTTTCTGGCCACTGTCTACCATCTTTCTAGCTCATTACCTCTTATAATCTTACTCCAACATTACTTCATTTCACCAGACCATACTTTGACTATTGTTTAATTTAATTTGATGGTGTTCCCTCTTAACCGAGTTTATATCCTGTGATCAGTGTTGTGCATGAATCCTTGATTAATTGGTCTCCTTTTGTTTTTTATTAGTTTAGGAGGGACCATAGATAGTAATGACTAGGGGCTTCTCCTGGCTTGGTGCTGAGAGTGCCCCGTGGAGTGCATAACAGACTATTTGCAGTTGTGGTAATAGAACCTGGGCTTCCTGAATGAAGAGCATGTGTTCAGTTCATTGAGCTACTACTTGGGTCCTTTCCTCTTCTTTTTATTCTTCTCACTGTGGAAAAAAATCACAGCCTTGGTAATTCCAAAATTATGCTTTTGAATCTGCTTCTTCTCTCTTCAGCTTCTAACATGTTATCTTCTTTCTAATTTTAAGATTCTGTCTTCACTTTCTCCTTCATTAATCGTTGAATCTTTCAGATTTTGACCCCAATATTTAACCATCTGCTTGCATCTGTGGCCAAATATTCTTCCTTACTACCTACTTTTGTTACTCCTCCTATGTAAAACCAGTATTTGCATTTGTACGGCAGAGTCTATTCTTTTATCTCCCACCTGGATCATGTCCACCTGCCCACATACCAAATTCCACAGCATTGATATGTCGATTCCAACGGTCTCCCTTCCGAAATATGACACGCCATTTCGTCGGTAAAGAAGCGAACAGCACCCAGTCCAGATAAGGTCAGACCTGAATACCTGAAGAACCTGCCGTCTGTACTCATCAATACACTGGCTCAGCTTTTCACACGCTACCTGTCTGAATGCAAGGTTCCATCCCAATGGAAATCCAGCAGGACTGTTCTACTGTACAAGAAGGAAGACATCCATGACATTGGCAACTATTGCCCGATCTGCCTCTTGTCTGTCATCTACAAGCTGTTGACTCGTGTCATCCTGAATAGGAGTGGCAGAACAGTAGATGAAGAACAACCATGTGAACAAACCATGTTCTGAAAAGGATTCAGCATGATCGACCATTTCCACAGGGTAACCAAGCTCATTGAGGTTTCTCGGGAGTTCAAGATGCTGCTCTGTCTAACATTCTTTGATTTAAAGAAGAGCTTTAAGAAAATGTGTTGAATATAACTTCCCCATTTTTGTGTACAAACACTAAATTTTATTTCTATATATCCTGACATTTATAAAGGTGTTATTTTGCTTCCCAGTTGTGTGATTCTCAAAAATAGTGCCAGATCTTCTGTACCCTTTCTCAGAATTCTTGTGCAACAAGTACTGTAGGCATATTTAAAAAAGAAAAGAAAATGAATGTTATAAAATAAAAAAGATTTATTTCTATTCATAAAAAGGCCTTTGATTCTGTTGAGGCTGAAACAGTCATCGAAGCCCTAGCCAAACAGAGCATTCAAACTCAGTACATCAGGATCCTCCTTGAGCTGTAATATGGATTTACCACCAGGATCTCACCATTCTAAAGGAAGTGATCATCCATGTCAAGAGAGAGGTTCAGCAGGGTGATACCATTTCACCGAATCTCTTCAGTGCCGCCCTTGGGAACATCATGCGATGACTGGAATGGGAAGGACTGGGAGTGAAAATAGACGTTCAGCAACTGCACCACCTCCGCTTCGCTGATGACATCGTTGTGATAACACCAAACATTATCCAGGTGACACAAATGCTGGCTGACTTCGACTGTGAGTGTTGAAAGGTCAGACTGCAGCTGAATATCACGAAGACAATGTTTATGAGAAACGGTCTCATTCCTGACGTTCCATTCACTCTAAATGGAACGAACATATCTGAATGCAGCAGTTATGTGTACCTAGGTTGAGAAATCAGCATGACTAATGACCTGGCACCTGAGTTTGCACAGGAGGAAGAGAGCGGCTTGGAATGCCTTGAAGAGCGTCGAAGAAAGAGCTAAGAGGATGAAAAATCTCTGACTCCGGGCACATATCTTAGAGTCTTCGTTCTTCCTGCATTAACATATGCTGAGAGACCTGGGACCTATGAAAACAGGATGAGAACGCTATTCAGGTCTCCGAAAGAGGAATCAAAAGAGCTATGCTTGGAGTATCATGCTTCACTCAAGTGAGAGAAACAATATGGTGTTCCAATCTCTGTCAATGATCGAGAATCAGGGATGCTGTCTCATTTGCCAACACATCGAAAATCAGATAGGCTGGACACATAAAGCGATTTGGAAACAACCACTGGACTAGAGCCATTACTGACTGGATTCCATGGGATGTCAAAAGATCGTGTGGCTGCCCACCTACGAGATGTTCATACTTCTTCGTCAAGACCCTGAACGATCGGTTTGAGGCTCTTTGTGTTCCTGGAGAGAGTAGACGCCATTGGGCTACATTAGTGCACAACAGGGACGAATGGAGACGTTACTGGCACCCACTCGAGCTAATTGATGAGTAACAGGATGTCAAGTCATCAAGTGATCAAATGATTAAGTTATACATACTAATGGATTTTTGCTCTGGCCCTATATTGAAATAAATGCATCCCACTTTTAGTACATAAATACTATTCATTCCCAGTATGAGTTTTCCTGATAATAGACTTGTAAGTGATAGAGTAGATACAGTTTTTTGTTTCTGTGAATACCACCAGACTTTTTCTCAAACTGGACTTGGTTTTTTTTCCTATAGACCTATTTTCTATAATTATAGACCTATTTTCTATAATTCATATATATGAAATATTTAAAGTTTTAATTTAGCACTATGGCTTATCACATCTTATCTGTGATCTTCAATTAATTTGTGTATAGTTTAAAGCTAGGATCAAAGTTCATTTTTTTACAAATACCCAGTTGACTCAGTATAATCTAAAAGGTCATTTATCTTACTGTATTGCATTAGTACATTTATTATAAATCTTCTATATATGTGAGTCAGTTTCTGACATCTCTATTTGTTCCATTGTTCTATTTATTTTAGTCTGCCACCAATGCCAGACTGCCTAAATTATTGTACCTTCATAAGAAGGTAAGGTAAGGTAAAGGCCCTCCCGTTGATCGTCGATTTGCTCGAGCGGGCCCAGTAACGTCTCCATTGGAGACTTTGTTGTTACTGTGTCTGGCATATCCAGTACTCTCGTTAGCTTGCCGGGCTCTCCGAGAGGGGCGGAGGAATCGAACTCGGGTCGGCCATGTTGGCCGCTTGTAAGGCGAACGCCCTACCCGCCGTGCTATTAGAACTGTTACCCCAACTTTCAATTTTGGAATGCTCCACAGTCAAGGTCTTGTTCTTTTTCTGTATCTGAGCTCTTTCATTCAGTCTGATTACTTAAGACCTTACCTACTTTCCTGTTACTTCGAATTTATATCTTCTGTCCAGATTTAATCCCTTCTCTTTAAGTAAATTTATTGTCTGTTAAATATTTTATACTTGTTATCCTGATCAAGTTGAAATCATCATCTCTATTCCTGCACTCAATTTCTTGTAGCTTCCTCTAAGAATCTTAAAGTCAGTCTTTCCAATGGACAGGAATATTGCTCCTTGGTTGGAATCCAGCCCCATGAGCTGGAGGAGAAGGCAGCTGGGATAGAGAAGGGATCACTAAGTCAATGATGATTGGAGGGATCGCTCGGGATAGGAGATGTGTGCTGAAAGTAGATAAAGACAGAACATTATGGCCTCACAGTATCTGTGTTACAAACCATAATGCCCCAAAGTTGAAAGAGTAAAAAGGAAATTGTCTGCCACAGAGGCAGAGGCTGGGGTCATGGGGGTTGGCGGGAGGGATACTGGGGTCATCGATGGTGGAAAATGTACACTGGTGGAGGGGTGGGTGTTTGATAATTGTATGACTGAATCTCAATCATGAAATCTTTGTAAATTTATCTCACAGTGGTTCAATTTTAAAAAGTCAGTCTCAGGGATGGAGCAATAGCAGAGCGGGTAGGGTGTTTGCCTTGCACACAGCCAACCCGATTTTGATTCCCAGCATCCCATATGGTCCCCTGAGCACCTCCAGGGATAATTCCTCAGTGCAAGCAGAGCCAGGAGTAACCCCTGTACATCACAATGTATGACCCAAAAAGCCAAAAAAAGTCAGTCTCTCTCCTTTTGTATTTCATATATGATTCATGAAAAATATTTTATTAATTTTTTCAAATAGATCCATATTCTTAGTCAAATGATTAATATCTTCATTGCTGTCACAGTGGGATGGCTGTCATCTTTCCAAAAATAACTACTTCACTAGCCATTTAAAGATTAACCTGTTCCAGGTGCTGGAGCAATAGCACAGCGGGTAGGGCATTTGCCTTGCATGCGGCCAATCCGCGTTCAATTCCCAGCATCCCGTATGGTCCCCCAAAGCACCACCAGGAGTAATTCCTGAGTGAAAAGCCAGGAATAACCCCTGTGAGTAACCCCTGTGCATCGCCGGGTATGACCTGACCTAAAAAGCTAAAAAAAAAAAAAAATTAACCTGTTCCAACCTTTCAACTTAAATTCTATTGTAACAGCAGTTATTCACCCTTAAACTTTGTTTTACCATTTTTTAAATTTAATTGGATTCATTTTAAAATAAATTGATTTAGTTTATTTTAAATTTATTTTTGTTTAGGGCTGGAGCGATAGCACAGCGGGTAGGGCGTTTGCCTTACACGCGGCCAACATGGCCGACCCGAGTTCGATTCCTCCGCCCCTCTCGGAGAGCCCAGCAAGCTACCGAGAGTATTCGATATGCCAGACACAGTAACAACAAAAGTCTCTAATGGAGACGTTACTGGGCCCGCTTGAGCAAATCGACGATCAATGGGAGGGCCTTTACCTTTAGGAAGCATTGGTTTGCAAGACTGCAAGTATTCAGGTTTATAATTCTATCAGTGAAATAATTTGGTCTTTGTCTTTCTTCTGACTTTGCTTAGCATAGCACCCTCCATTTTCCCTCTTTTTTATTTAATCACCATAAATTTCAAAATTGCAAGGTTATTCATGATCTAGTTTCAATCATTACAGTATTCAAACACCAATCCCCCTTCACCTTCCCTCGACCAAAGTCCCTTTCCCCTCCCTTTGCCCAACCTGCCTCTGTGGCAGGCTCTTCAAGCCTACTTTTCAGCTTTTCATCTCCTTCACACACCCTAGTTTTACCTGTGTTGTATCTAAAGGCAAGATTGTAGATTTTCTTAAAGTTTGGTATTATATATGTACCACAACTTCATTGTCCACTCATTTGTCATGAATATTTAGGTTTTTTCCAGACCACTTTGAAAAGTACTGTGATGGAAATAGGTGTGCATATACATACATCTGTTTAAACAATGTTTTGTGTTCTTAAGATAGATAATAGCATTGGATTTGCTGTCATATGATAGGTCTGTTTTTAATTTTTTAAGACATCTCTGTTTTTTTCCTATAGGCTAAACCTGTTTACATTTCCACCAAAAGTGAATTCCACCAAGTTTCTTTTTCTCTACCATCCTTGTTTCTGACCCTCTTTTTATATAATCCATTCTCAGTGGTGTGAGTTATATCTCGCTGTTATTTTTATTTGCATTTCTGCAAGAATAAATGACAGTGACCATTTTTTTCTCTTGTGGATGACTTTTAAACTTTAAATCATATCTTTTTTTCTGTTTAAACTCTTCTGCTGCAGACTTAATTCACACAGTAAAACTCACAGTCTTTACAGTGGCCTATATGTTTTATGGTAAGCCATTTGTTATATCCTAGTAGCTCTCCCACCTAGCTCCCATTGCTCACTCTGCTACAGCATTTTGATCTCCTTGATGTTCCTTATATACACCAAGCATGGTTCTTTCTACTAGGAATGCTGTAACTGGTTATGTGCATACCACATTATTTTAAAAGTTTTGTCATATATAAACTCAGTAAAACCAATTCTGACCACTCTCATTTAAAAGTTCAAGCTTCCATTGTTTTTAGCACAGTGGAATTTATTGTGCCTCTTTCTCATAAAAATGTATAATAATTTGTAACATTCATTTATTTCTTGTTCCACTGGTAGAATGTGAGTACCATTGAAGGCATGACGTTTTTGCTATTTTCTTTACTAATGTTCTGTAAACACCTAGAACAGTGTTTGGTACATAGTAGGTACTCAATAAATATGAAATAGATTAATTCTAGCTCTAGACTTCTCTAACTGCACTGTAAGGTGAGAATGTTGTCCCTGAGTACTTCTTTTCAACCTACTTAAATAAGGTAGCCATACTTGTTCATGTAACATTTGTTTGTATTATGATTTTGTATAGGTGACAGAGGTGACACTTGCTTCAACTGTATTGGAACTGGTATTTCTGGGCCTCCTGGTCAACCTGGTTTGCCAGGTCTTCCAGGTCCTCCAGGTAAAATATTCTGCCTCTGAGAAACATTTTAGATATTTCTTGGCCATATTTTAATGCTCATAATTTTAGAATATATATAAAGGTTCCACTGAGATTTGAACTCAGATCGCTGGATTCAGAGTCCAGAATGCTACCTATTTCACCATTGCTCGATCGCATAGTGGGTAGGGCATTTGCCTTGCATGCGGCCGATCTGACTGACCCAGGTTTGATAATTCCGCCCCTCTTGGAGAGCCTGGCAAGCTACTGAGAGTATCTCACCGGCACAGCAAAGCCTGACAAGCTCCCCATGACGTATTCGATATGCCAAACACAGTAACAAGTGTCACAATGGAGATATTACTGGGCCCGTTCATGCAAATCGATGAACAACGGGAGGACAGTGACAGTGATATATATATATATATATATATATATATATATATATATTTTTATATGGAATTCTTCTATCTGCTATTGAATACATTGTGCTCTTATTTCTAATATTGAAGCTGCCATATTTCTTATTAAAGTATCATGCCATCATATCATTCCAGGAAAAGCATCTTCCTTATTTTACATATGTTGAGGGAAAGAATTCATATTGAATCAGATATTTTATTCAGAAAACTGGAGCTAAGTTCGTACTGCCTAATCTTATGTTTAGTTTTAGTGGCAGAGTTTATCATCATAGAAATGTATTATGGTGATATTAAAGAATATGGCTCTGGTGGTATTGGACAGACAGCTGCCAGTGTTTCTCTCTGTCAAGCTCCCCATTTGCAATCAAAACAATATTTCATATCCACTAGACCCACAATTTTTTGTTCAGCTCCCTCTTGGGATATCCCAATCTCATATTTTGAAATTGTACTTTATGTCTGCAAAGTACTTTATGTCTGCTTAGAGACTAGACACTAGCTAGATTTCTTATTATTCTCTCTAATGTGAGTATGAAGGAAACCAATTTGACTCTTGGAAATAGAGTTTTATTAAGCCCTATAACTGTCACTAGAAGATAATTATATAGCCTTGTGCATGAAGTCAAGTTTTCCTCAAATATAAGAGTGTATCAGAATTTTCTGGAGGTCTTTTAAAACTCAGATTCCTGGGGCCCACCCGAAAGTGTCCTATATACTACATATCTGGCATGTGGACCCAAGAATTAACTTTTCTAACTAGCAATGAGGTTATACTGATACAGATACCCCAGGATCTCATTTGAGAACCACTGCTTTAATAATATTTTCTTGAGTCTCTAAGGATAAAATATTTCTCACAAACCAAAGTTTAGAGAACTACAAGATAGTCATTGAGATGATAAAGACTTAAGAAAGATAAAAAGGTGGTAAGAATCTAAAAGAAATTGTTGAAGTCAGGACAAAGAATTATATGGAGCTTTAACTCATTTTCTCACTTATCAGTAGAATGATTATGAGAACCTGAGCACAACAATCTGTGTAGCATATGGGAATTTATCTATTGAGTTGGAAATAGGTAAGGACACAGTATTGTATATAAATGAAATGCTAGGGTTTACCTCAAAGAAGAGATGCTTTTATTTTGTTAACAGTGTAGAAAACTTTAAGATATGACATTGCATGGGATTATTTATTTTGAAATTTATCTGCTGATTTTTGTTTAATCTTTGGGCTGGAGCGATAGCACAGCGGTAGGGCGTTTGCCTTGCATGCAGCCAACATGGCCGACCCGAGTTCGATTCCTCCGCCCCTCTCGGAGAGCCCGGCAAGCTACCGAGAGCATCTCGCCTGCACGGCAGAGCCTGGCAAGCTACCCGTTACGTATTTGATATGCCAAACACAGTAACAACAAAGTCTCCAATGGAGACGTTACTGGGCCAGCTCGAGCAAATCGATGATCAACGGGAGGGCCTTTACTTTACTTACTTTACTTCGGGATTAAAGCTCATAGCTTACATTATGTTTTGTGTGTGTCAGGATCTCTTGGTTTCCCTGGACCAAAAGGTGAAAAGGGGCAAGCTGGTACAACTGGTCCCAAAGGACTAACAGTAAGTATTGAGTATATTATAAAAAGTGGAGAAATTCACTTACACTTTGATTTTCCCATATAGCACATGCCTCAGTTCATTCACTGTATACTAAATATTTTTGTATGGGTTTATGGGATAAATTAGGAAGAAGAAATGTTAAAAAGTACTGGAGTTAGACACTTAGCACAATAGTGGGTACAACACTTGATTTCCACACAGCTGACTTGGGTTCAATCCCCAGCACCACATATGCTCCTTAAAGCCCCTCTGGCTGTTATATCTGAGCACAAAGCCTGGAGTAAATCTTGAGCATAGCTGAAGGTATCCAAAAACAAATGATTTCTCTCTTTTTATTCCCTTAGGGAATACCAGGGGCTCCAGGGGCTCCAGGCTTTCCTGGATCTAAAGGTGAACCTGGTGACATCTACACTTACCCAGGAATGAAGGGTGACAAAGGAGAGTTGGGTCCCCCTGGATCTCCAGGACTTCCTGGTTTACCTGGGACTCCTGGACAGGATGGATTGCCAGGACTTCCTGGCCGCAAAGGAGAACCTGTGAGTCCATTTAATATTTTAAGTTTGATGATATCAGATTGTCACTAAGTGATGTTTCCTAGGTTGTTGTCAGTGCTGAGATGAGTACTTAATGTTTAAAGAATGTTTTGATATTTTGTAAATGAAAGAGTTTATTGACTTTGTAGAACTTCTTTGCACTCTTGTGTCAAAATTATTTTATAAATTCCTTTACCATAATATATTACTATGTTGCACTATGAAGGGGGTCAGGAAGTTCAAGTGTGTATGGGTCCATGCGCTTTTTATTATTTCATACCCTATATATCTGTATCTTATTTAAACCTGATAATAGACATTTTAGTAGGTTTTCAGGTATAATAAATTTAGAAATTATTATGAGTAGATAGTCAAATATACTTCATATCTTAGAATTTAAATGTTAATGAAGCCTTATTTTGTACAAAATACACATTCCAGGAAATTTATGTGGGAGGATATATTTTATAGAATGTTAATTAGAATGTAAACTTTTTGACTTATACTAGAATATAGGTTGCATAAGGGTATTTGACTATTTTTATTTTTTCCTGTCTCATCAGAACTTAACTTATAGTAGGAATTCAAAATAGTTGTTGAAGTTGTTAGTGACTTAAGTGGAGTTATTATACATCACATCTCATAATAATAACACGCAGCCTGTAAGGACTATGGCTGTATCATTTCTGTAATTGTATTCAGTAATATGAACCTATACATGACTGTTATATCTGTATGTTTTTTTATTAAAATTTTCAGGGTCAAATTGCTTTTAAGGGTGAAAGAGGTCCCCCTGGGAACCCAGGTTTGCCAGGTCTCCCAGGGAACATGGGGCCTATGGGCCCTCTTGGCATTGGGCCTCCAGGCCCAGTAGGTGAAAAAGGCATAAAAGGTATGGCAGGAGGTCCAGGTCAGCCAGGAATTCCAGGTGAGTTCACTATATTTTTGTTTTAATTTGGTGTCTAAAAGCAGAAATGACCCCCCCTTGGTTTTTTTTTTTTGGTACACGTTTGGTTTGCTTTCATGAAATGTATTTACCTGGCCACTTATGTTTACGTTTTACAGACATTCTTATCAAGGGAAAACTTTGCTTTTTATAAAAGAGTTCTTTATTTTTTTCTTTTTTATTGTTTTTTTAAAGTTTTGTTAGGATCACACTATGTGGTGTTTGAGGGCTACTACTGAATGAGGCTCAGTGGTTGCTTCTGTCAGTGGACCATGTGAAGCTGAAGATAGATCTTAAGGCATGCAAATCATGCACTCCAACCTTTTAAGCTATGTTCCTTTATTTTGTCTAGAGACCATGATACAAACTGTTAAGCTTAATTATAATGGAAACATGTGTAACAAACACATATGTTTTTAAAAAAATATTACTAGCATTCTGAAACACCCTATTTTCTGTGTTTTCTGATCATAATCCCTTTACATCTTTCCAAAGATATCCGTTGTTCTGAATTTTGTTTAATTTCCCTCCATTTACTTTCTGTATTTATCACTTAGACAAAGATCTATTTAAAAGTACTTTAGGCTAAACTTTGGTACATCTACACAATAAAGTACTATGTAGCTATTAAAAGATGAAGTCATGAAATTTACATACAAGAGGTACTACATGGAAAGTATCATGATAAGTGAAATGAGTCAGAGAGAGACATAGAAAGATTGCATTCATCTGGGGAATATAAGGTAACAAAATAGGAGACTAAGACCAAAGAACAGCCGAGATAAGTACCAGAAGGTTCACTTCATGGCTTGGAGGCCAGCCGCACACTCTAGGGGTAAAGGCAGCTCAGATAGAGAAGGGAGCACCAAGTAAAGGGTGTTGGGAGGAACCTACCAGTATGGAAAATGCAAGCTAAAAGTAGACTATAGACCAAACATGATCGCCACTCAATGACTCTTTTGCAGACCACAGCACTCAAAAAGAGAGAGAGAACAAAAAGGATGCCCTGACACAGAGGCAGTGTGGGATGGGGGAGATGGGAGGTGGGATCTATACTGGGATCATTGGTGGTGGAGAATGGGCACTGGTGGAGGGATGGGTATTCGATCATTGTATAACTGAAACCCAAGCACAAAAATTTGTAAGTCTACAACTGTACCTCATGGTGTTTCACTAATAAAAATTTTAAAAAATAAAGGGGCTGGAGTGATAGTGCAGAGGGCCGGGTGTTTGCCTTGCACGTGGCCAACCCGGGTTCGATTCCCAGCATCCCATATGGTCCCCTGAGCACCCGCAGAAGTAATTCCTGAGTGAATGAGCCAGGAGTAACCCTTGTGCATCGCCAGTTGTGACCCCAAAAACAAAGAAGAAATAAATAAAATATATAACTTTTAAAAAAGTACTTTATATAGCTAGAATCTGGAAAAAACCTGAGTGCCCGACAACAGATGACTGGTTAAAGAAACTTTGGTACATCTACACAATGGAGTACTATGTAAATGTAAGAAAAGATGAAGTAATAAAATTTACATACAAGTGGTACTACATCGAAAGTATCATGCTAAGTGAAATGAGTCAGAAAGAGAGGGACATACATAGAAAGAATGCATTCATCTGGGGAACATAAGGTAACAAAATAGGAGACTAACACCCAAAAATAGCCGAGATAAGTACCAGGAGGTTCACTTCATGGCTTGGAGGCCAGCCGCAAACGCTGGGGGAAAAGGCAGCTCGGATAACGAAGGGAGCACCAAGTAAACGGTGTTGGGAGGATCCTCCCAGGATGGGAGATGCATGCTCTATGTAGACTATAGACTGAACATGATTGCCACTCAATGCCTTTTTTGCAGGCCACAGCACCTAAAAGGAGAGAGAGAACAAAAGGAGAGAGAGAACAAAGGCAGGTGGGATGGGGGGTTGGGGGGAGGGATACTGGGATCAGTGGTGGTGGAGAATGGGCACTGGTGGAGAGATGGGTACTCGATCATTGTATGACTGAAATCCAAGCTCAAAAATTTGTAAGTCTACAACTGTACCTCATGTTGTTTCACTAATAAAAAAAATAAAATTGAAAATAAAAAAATAAAAATAAAAAAAGTACTTTAGGTTAATGAGATAGTACAGAGGCTACGATATATGTCTTGCATACAGTCAACCTCGGTTTAATCTCTAGCACCACAATTATGGTCCCTGAGCACTTCCATAAGTGACTCCTGAGCACAGAGCCAAAAGTAGCCCCTAAGTAGTATTTCATATGGCTCTAAAGAGAAACCAACCCTAAAAAGTAATTTAATTATGTTTCTTTTTGAACTTCACATAATGGAAAAATAGATTAAGTGTTTTTATGTTAACTTCATATAGCTAGATTACATTTTATTAGGGTATAGTAACTATACCATTTTGTTTATGATTGTATATCATAGTTTGTTTACCCACTCTGTTGTTAGTGGACAGTATTATAGTCATCTATATCCAAGATTTGGGTTTTACAATTTCAGTTTTGTGATCAATCAATCAGTGGTCAATCATAGTCTCCTGTAAGGTGTTCTTTGGGCCTCACCAGGTGATGTTCAGAACTTCTGACTCTATACTCAGGAATCACACTTGGTGATGCGCTGTGGACCTTATGCAGTACCCGGGATAAAACCCAGGTCAGCTACATACGAGTCAAACAACTTAAACCCTATACAACCTCTGCGACCCCACAGCCGTATTGAAAATATGTTAGTTATTTATATTATTGTAATTGTTTTAGCTGGACCGATAATACAGCAGTAGGGTGTTTGCCTTGCACGCAGCCGGCCCAGCTGACCCGGGTTTGATTCCTCCGCCCCTCTCAGAGAGCCCGGCGAGCTACCGAGAATATCTCTCCCACACGGCAAAGCCAGGCAAGCTACCCGTGATGTATTTGATATGCCAAACACAGTAACAAGTCTCACAATGGAGACATTAATGGGCCCACTCGAGCAAATCGATGAACAACAGGAGGACAGTGCTACAGTGTTTTATTATTATTATTTATATGCCTAAATTAAAATTTATATATATTTATATTCCATATGGGCTGGAACGATAGCACAGCGGTAGGGCATTTGCCTTGTGCGCAGCCAGCCAGGCCAAGCCGGGTTCGATTTCTCCGCCCCTCTTGGAGAGCCCAGCAAGTTACTGAGAGTATCTCACCCGCACGGCAAAGCCTGGCAAGCTACCCGTGATATATTCAATAAGCCAAACACAGTAACAGCAATTCTCACAATGGAGATGTTACTGGGCCCGCTTGAGCAAAATCGATGAACAACGGGAGGACAGTGACAGTGATATTCCATATATGTATATAAAAACTAGGGCATATCAGTTTCTATGCTCTACATGATTTTAGATGTACACTAAAATATTTTTTTCTTTTTTAAATTTTTATTAGTGAAACACCATGAGGTACAGTTGTAGACTTACAAATTTTTGTGCTTGGGTTTCGATTATACAACGATCAAATACCCATCCCTCCACCAGTGCCCATTTTCCATTACCATGGATCCCAGTATCCCTACTACCCCCATCCCCCACATCCCACCCTGCCTCTGTGGAAGGGCATTCCCTTTTGTTCTCTCTCTCCTTTTGGGTGTTGTGGTCTGCAAAAGAGGCATTGAGTGGCAATCTTATTCGGTCTATAGTCTGCTTTCAGCATGCATCTCCCATCCTGGGAGGATCCTCCAAACACCCTTTATTTGGTGCTCCCTTCTCTATCCGAGCTGCCTTTTCCCCTAGCATGCCCAGCTGACCTCTAAGCCATGAAGTGAACCTCCTGGTACTTATCTCGGTTGTTCTTGGGTATTAATCTCCTATTTTGTTACTTTATGCCCTCCAGATGAATGCAATCTTTTTTATGTCTGTCCCTCTCTTTCTGACTCATTTCACTTAGCATGATACTTTTTTGCCAGTTCAGGTCTAGTGTGATTAATGCTTTGATCTGCATTCTCTTATATATGGCTGGTGGGCATACCATGTGTACATACCTGTGGGGCAAAGTAGAAAACTATGGCTCGTGGACCAAATCTTTTCCACCACATGTTGCTGTAAATTAAATTTTGATTTGGAATTACCCATACCCACTCATTACAGTCCTATAGTTTCTTTCACACAATAGCAAAATATTTGCTGCTAAATCTGTAAAGCCCACAAAGCCTAAAGTATTTGCTATCTTGTCATTTACAGAGAAGAAAAATTGACAATCCTTGGATTAAGATACATATTTAAGATTTTATATTCTCAGTTAATGAAGTAAAGTGTCTTACTAATACTTCTATACTATGTTTAGACATATTATTCTAAACTTTGTTCACACCAGCAGCATTAGAAATTTTTCTGTTTACATCTTCATAGGGACTCAGTTATCAGACTGCCTCCACATTTTACCAATTTGTTGAATGTGATATATATCAGAGCAGTTTTACTTGCATTTATATAATTCCATTAAAACTTAGCACTTGTTCATATATTTATTGGTTATTTGAATTTCCTTTTGTGAAATGCCCATTAAGTGTCCTGTTCATTTTTGTATTGAATATTTTTCTTTCTATTGATTGACTTTTGAAGATGCGGTTGAGGATAGTTTCTGCATATTCTGTATTAGATAAGTTTATTTTTACAAATCTTCATTATGACTTTCAACTTTCAAGCCCTGTATTTTCCTATGTACAACCTATAATTATTACAAATTAAAAATTTATCACTTGGGCTGGAACAATAATATAGTGACTAGGGTGCTTGCCTTGCACACAACCTACCCAGGTTTGATCCCAAAATCCACGTAGTTCCCCACACACCACCAGGAGTAATCTTTTAAGTGCAGATCCAGGAGTACTCCATGAGTACTACCAGATGTGGCCCCCAAACCAAAATAAATAAATCTTTTGCTACTAAAAAATAAAATTGCCTCACAGTAAAATCTAAGAAATCCTTTGTCCTGAGCTTATTTCAGTTAATGAGCACTGCACTGTACTGTCCTCCCGTTGTTCATTGATTTCCTTGAGCAGGCCCAGTAACGTCTCCATCGTGAAACTTATTGTTACTGTGTTTGGCATATTGAATACATCACGGGTAGCTTACCAGACTTTGCCATGTGGACAAGATACTCTCGGGAGCTTGCCGGGCTCTCCAAGAGGGGCGGAGGTATTGAACCCGGCTCAGCCAGGCCAGCTGTGTTTCCACACAGGGCAAACACCCTACCGCAGTTAATGAGAAGTAGGTTTATTTTGGGCCTTGCACACATAAAACCCAAGGTACCATTAGTAAATAAAAAAGACTACTTTTCATTTCAGTTTGGCATTTTAGACTCTTTTGACATATATTAAAAATATTTTTATAAGTACCATCCTCAATCATAGATGCTTTTAAATTATAATCAACCTCTCTGAAATTGCATTTTTTTAAAAAGTTAAAAAATAGAAATAAATTGCATCTTTCTGCTTGGTATTATTCTTGAATATATAATGTGAGATTTTTTGGTATATTTTATGAGTTTTTTTTCAAGGATTATAATTTTTTGCTTTTATTTAAAATATCAATTTTAATTTTGGTTTCAATTAAATATTTTAGTCAGGTCACCCTCATCTCAGTCACTATTGTTTCTGTTTTATTTATTTCTTAGGTCAAAAGGGTGATCCAGGTCAGACCATAACTCAGCCAGGGAAGCCTGGCCTACCTGGTAACCCAGGTAAAGATGGTGAAGCAGGTCTTCCAGGTATGTGATGAATTTATTTAACCACACTTTTAACACTTACTGGCTTCCTTATTGGAATTTTTTTCAAATAATTACTATCTCCCCATAGGTGAACCTGGACTCCCAGGACAGCCAGGCTTGCCAGGACTACCTGGCAGCAAAGGAGAACCAGGCATGCCTGGAATTGGACTTCCTGGACCTCCAGGTCCCAAAGGTATGTAGAAATGGATATCAGGAAAGGCAAGTTAGCTCGTTGAATATAGCATGAAAAAGAACTTAGCATGTGATTTTGGAAATGAGGTAAAAAATAATTTCACATATTTCGTGATATAATAGCAATGTAGCACTGTCCTCCTGTTGTTCATAGTTTGCTCAAGCAGGCACCAGTAATGTCTCCATTGTGAGACTTATTACCATTTTTGGCATATCGAATACACCACAGGGAGCTTGCCAGGCGGACAGGATACACTCAGTAGCTTGCTGGGTTTTCTGAGAGGGACGGAGGAATCGAACCTGGGTTGGCCGCATGCAAGGCAAATGTCCTACCTGCTGTGCTATCACTCCAGCCCATCTTGATATAGTAAATTCAATAAACAAAACATCCTTATTGAATTTTTATTATACACTGTAAGGAATATAAATAAAAATCACATAGCCTAAGCACTAAAATTTCATTGACTAAAACACTTCATAAAATATCTAAATCATAACTACATAAAATTATATATAAGTTTTAAAAATCACAATTTTTTTCAGTGTTTGTATTGTATTCTTGCGTTTTTGTACAGTTCCTGATGCATAATAAACAGTCATTATATTGTTATTAAATGAGATGCCTTTACCTTTACCTATATTAAACAGAAAATATATTTATTGATCACATAATCCAAATTTTTTCTAAATCATATTCATGGTGTTTATGAGAAATTTTAGTGCTGTTACTTACATATTTATTTATTCTTTACAGAATTTATTCTAACCAAACAAGAGTATGCATTGATCTGAGAATGAGTCTTAAGTACATACTTATTCATTTAAAATAAACTATTTCAAAAGTGTCAGATTTAAATTCATGTGTTTGTAATATCTGAAACTGATTTTAGCTCACTTCCAAAATTATATGGTGGGTTGTTTTTCATGCTTTGTTCAACTATAAAAGGAAAACAATGTTCTAAATTTTTGTGGACGGTTGAATTCTTATGGTTAATTGTATCTTACTATATAAATATCCTTAATTTTTCTTCAGATGAGCATGTAAACCGCATACATACATTAGATCTCTGAAAATGTTTGCATCACTAAATGATTGAGAAGGAATATCATATATCTGTAAGAACTGTTCCTAACAATGTCAGTTTAGTCTTAACATCTAATTGTGCTTTAGTCAGTGACTTGTATTGGGTATGATAAAAATGTGGACTTGGGCATCTTTTATAGAGTTTCTTCTCTTAGGATATTAAAAATAATATAATTTTACAGGTTATCCTGGAATTCCAGGACCCCCAGGAGTACCTGGGATACCTGGAAGAAGTGGTGTAGAAGGTCCTCCTGGGCTACCAGGCTTTCCAGGTCCAAAGGTCTGGAACATTTTAATTAATATTTTTCAATCTCTTTTATGTTCTTTATTCTTAGTCTACATGTTGATTTAGATTTGCCAAGTGCTCACTGTAATATATAAATAAAAACTATAACGTATTTCCATTAAAAATTTAATATAAAATTCTTTAATGATCTAAGATGCCATATTAGAAACAAAGTTCCTAACGCTGTTTCAGAGTGGATTGTTATTTAACGTGATGAAATGAAAGATTAGACTATAATCATTACCTTCCCTGATCTACTATGTACTACCTCTGTCCATTTAATTGCTGTCTCTGCCTGGGAGATAGTTGGTTGAAATGCTTAATATTGTATCTAGAGTTTTCCATTCTGTTTTCTTCTCTCCCCATTTCATCCTAGATACAGAAAGCAAATCGCTGCTATTGACTTAGATATACTACTACTGTAGCACTATAGCACTGTCCTCCTATTGTTCATCGATTTGCTTGAGCGGGCCCAGTAACGCCTCCATTATGAGACTTGTTACTGTGTTTGGCATATCAAATACGTCACGGGTAGCTTGCCAGGCTTTGCCGTGCAGGCAAGATACTCTCAGTAGCTTCCCGGGCTCTCCGAGAGGGGAGGAGGAATCGATCCAGGCTCGGCCGGGCCGGTGTCTTGCAAGGCAAATGCCCTACTGCTGTGCTATCGCTCCAGCCCGTACTACTAATAATAATAGTAATATAATCATATATTAATATCCCGTTTGAATTACTTTCCATTCCTTTCATTCTATTTTAGCTAAACTTAACATTTTTCAGTCAGCCTACAGAGAAGTGTTGTGATATGTTATTATCTTGATTGTTCCTGAATTTTCCATGTTGAACTTGTTTAAACTTCCTTATTTCATGGAAAGAACAATTGATCATGATTCCAGGTTTCATAGGAAACCACTTTCGTATTGATTGTTTCATTTTTATCCTGAATCATTTCAATGAATACAAAAATAAACAGAATAATGCAGTGAATTTTCATATACTCCTTAACCAGATTAAAATTATCAAGACTACCACAGTTGTTTCAACTTTTGCTAAAGTATTTTAGTCCAGAGCTTAATGCAATGTAATTTAATCTGTAAATACTTAAGAATTCATCCTAAGGAAATGGATGTTTTAAACAAAAAATACAATGCTATTTATTTTTGTCAATTAAAATTAGTTATCATAAAAACTGTCTATAATCACAGTTTTTACTTGGGAAAATTGAGTTAGGAGAGTATCCCAAGTGGTGCTCAAAGACCTAGGGTTACTCTCAGAAGTTCTCTGACAAGTGTTGCCAAATGGTTGAATGCTAAGGGATGTATGATCCAGTCCTGCTCATTCCCACAGTGTCAGAGTCCAGCCAGGACTTTCTTGGCAGTAGCACTGCTCAGGTAAACATGTAATATCGAAATCAAACTGGGATTGCATACATGGAATGCATGTGGCCAGACTCCCCCTGTAATAGTTCCCCATCTCAAAGCTTCTTTAATCTTATGCTTTCTTTACTTGTCCTACTACCAGTCCAACACATCTAATTTGTTTTACTAAACAAATTTCTACCCTTGCAGTTTTTTCTTTCTCTACAGTTTACAAATTATTTTCCATACAATTATTCTTCCTCTTCCCACCAGGAAAAAAAGGTAGTAACATTTTATCCTGTTGATACTCTGATAAAAGTCTCACTAAATGAACATCAAGAAAGTCATGAGATGTTTTCTTGTCTTTCGTCATGTGTATATTCAAGGGAGAACCAGGAGTTGCTTTACCTGGACAACCAGGACCTCCAGGACTCCCAGGCATCAAAGGAACACTTGGCCCAAAAGGGGACCGAGGTTTCCCAGGTCCTCCAGGTCCTCCAGGACAAACTGGCTTGGATGGAATGCCTGGATCTAAAGGTATGAGGACTGTTGCTAGACTTAATTTGTTTTTAACTTTTGTAGAAATTGAATCTATTTGGAAGGGTTAATAGGTGGAAAATCCAATTGCTGGAAGGTTTATGCTATGACTCAGACACTGTTTTTTTTTAATTCGTTCTATTTCTTTGAATTTCATTTTGGGGCCACACCCAGAAGTGCTTAGGACTTATTTATGGACTTATACTCAAAGGTCACTGTTGGCAGTTCTTGAGCGATGATATGTGGTGAATAAGATAAAATGCAGGTTAAAAACCTATGTACAAGGTGAACACCTTACCTGCTGTGGCCTCATTGGTCAAAATTCTTTTCTTTCTTCTTTTATTATTGAATTACTATGAGGTACATAATTTTAAAAGTTGTTCATGATTGAGTTATAGGCATACAATGAGTTATAGGCATACCCATTCCTTCACCAGTATACATTTTCCACCCCCCACACCCCATTTTCTTCTCATCCATCTCCCGCCTGCCTCTATGGCAAATACTTATTCTCTTATGTTTCCTCCTCCACCTCCTCCTCCTATCTCTCTCTCTCTTGCTCGTTCACTCTTTTGCTCTCTAATTTTCTCTCTTTCACTCCTTGTTAGGCATTGTGGTTTGCAATACTATTACTGAAATGTTATCATGTAAATCATTTTACCTCCTTTCATTACTCAGTTCTTCTCCAGAGTGATCATTTCCAGTTACCATTATCATAGTAGTTCCTTCTCTATCCTCACTGCACTCCCCTACAACTTGTGGCAAGTTTTCTACCTTGAATCACTCCTCCTTGCTATTTCTTCCACTGTCTTATTCTCAGACTATTTTTATATCCCACAAATAACTGTGATCATTCTATATCTGTCTCCTTTTCACTTATTAAACTCAGCATTATACTCTGTGTTTACCCATTTATAAACAAATTTCATGACTTCATTTTTTTTGTAAAGGCTTCATAGTATTACATTATAAAGAAGTACCATAGTTTCTTTATCCAGTCATCTGTTCTCAGTTACTTGGGTTGTTTCCAGATTCTGACCATTGTGAATTGTGCTGCAATGAACATAGCGTAAATAAATGGCTTTTCTGCACTTCTAGGGTAAATTGCCAGGCTAGAGCGATAGCACAGTGGTAGGGCGTTTGCCTTGCACGCGCCTGACCGGGCCAAGCCGAATTTGATTCCTCCACCCCTTTCGGAGAGCCCTGCAATCTACCAAGAATATCCCACCCACACGGTCGAGCCTGGAAAGTTACCCCTGGTGTATTCGATATGCCAAACACAGTAACAACAAGTCTCACAATGGAGATGTTACTGGGTCTGCTGGAGCAAATCTATGAACAACAGGAGGACAGTGCTACAGTGCTACAGGGTATATTCCAAGGAGATGTATTGATGGATCATATGGAAGCTTAATTTCTAATTTTTTTGAGTAATGCCAATATTGTTTCCAAAATGGTTAGACCAGTTGACATTCCTATCAGCAATCAATGATAGTCCCCTTTTCACTGCATCCTCGCCGGATCTATTCTCATTCTTTTTGATGCATGCCAGTAGCTATGGTGTGAGATGATATCTCACTATTTTTTTTTGATTTTCAACTCCCTGATTATTAGTTATGTAGAGAATTTTTCATGTGCTTTTTGGCCATTTGTATTTCTCCTTTGAAGAAGGTTTTGTTCATTTCTACTCCCCATTTTTAAAGATGTTAGGTTCTACCAATACCTTGTACATCTTGGATATTAATCCCTTATCAAATGGGTGTTGGGTAAATAATTTTTCCCATTCTGTGGGATGTTTTTGTATCCAGGTCATCATTTCCTTTGAGATGCAAAAGCTTCTTAGCTTAATGTAGTTTAGTTTGTTTATCTTTAATTCCTCTTGCTTGGTCAGTGGTGTTTCATCCTTGATGATGCCTTTAGATTCAGTGTCATGGAGAGTTCTGCTTATCTTTCATCTACGCACTTTTATAGTTTCAGGTCTAATATGGCCCTTGATATATTTTTCTTGCCTAATTGCTATGGCGAGTGATTGCAGTACTATATTGAATTGAAGTGGTTGAGAATGATCATACTTGTCTTCTGCATAGTCTTAGAGGGAAAACTTTTAGTTTTTCCCCATTGAATATAGTGTTTTGCTCTGGTATTGTGGTTAATGGCTTTGACTATTTCAAGGAAAGTACATTCAATTCCCATTTTGAGAATTTTAAACATGAATGGGTGCTGGGTCTTGTTAAACACTTTCTCTGTATCTGTTGATATGATCATATGATTTTTTATTGATATCGTGTATGATCTTCGTCAACGCTCAAGAATCAGGGACGCTGTCTCATTTTCCAAGACATCAAAAATCAGATGGGCTGGACACGTAATGAGGTTTACAGACAACCGCTGCACTAGAGCCATTACTGATTGGATTCCACGGGACATCAAAAGATCACGTGGACACCCACCTATAAGATGGTCAGACTTCTTCGTCAAGACCCTAAATGATCGGTTTGAGGCTCTGCATGTTCCTAGAACGAACAGATACCATTCGGCTACACTAGCACGCAACCGGGATGAATGGAGACGTTACTGGCACCCGCTCGAATAAATCGATGAATAACGGGGATTAAGTGATTAAGTGATTAAGTGATCGTGTATGATGTTGATTGACAGGCACCTCACCACGATATTAATCGATTGCCTCGAGCAGGCCCCAGTAACGTCTCTTTCATCCTAGCCCTGAGATTATATTCAGGGCTCTTTAGGAGAATGAGACCCATCATTGTTACTGGTATTTGGCATATTTGGTAGGCCACGGGGAGTTTGCCAGACTCTGCCCTGTGGGCAGGCTACATTCGACAGCCTGCAAGTTTGTCCAAAGTAGGAATGAGATAATAAGATGTCGCGCAGCCGCGAATGCGGCCGCGCGGTTCTGGGATCTGGAATTTATAGTCCCTGAGTCTTGGCCGCTGATGGGATTACACGGCGCCAGGGGGCCAGGTGGTGGGTCTGACCCCCGCCTACTGGAATTTGGAGGATCTGGGTGGAAGATGCTCGACTCCAATTCGAGTAGGCTTGGAGGTCTCGGCCCCGGAACCCGCGTGGCTTTGTCCCTCTGCCAGTACCTTCAGGTGTGCGGAGAGTGGTCTCAGCATGGTGGTGGCTGGTCCTGGAGGTCTCCGGCTGCCGTAGCCCTGGCCGGGGCGGGGAGGAAAGCTCAACCCGCTCCCCTCCAAGGGACTCCGGGAAGGAACACCCAGGCGCGGGGGCAGAGACTGCACTGCTCTCGTCCGGAATCTGGATTTTATAGTCTCTGAGTCTTGGCTGCTGATGGGATTACATGGCGCCAGGGGGCCAGGTGGTGGGTGTGACCCCCGCCTACTGGAATTTGGAGGATCTGGGTGGAAGATGCTCGACTCCAATTCGAGTAGGCTTGGAGGTCTTGGCCCCGGAACCCGCGTGGCTTTGTCCCTCTGCCAGTACCTTCAGGTGTGCGGAGAGTGGTCTCAGCATGGTGGTGGCTGGTCCTGGAGGTCTCCGGCTGCCGTAGCCCTGGCCGGGGCGGGGAGGAAAACTCAACCCGCTCCCCTCCAAGGGACTCCGGGAAGGAACACTGAGGCGCGGGGGCAGAGACTGCAGTGCTCTCGTCCGGGATTTGGATTTTATAGTTTCTGAGTCTTGGCCGCTGATGGGATTACATGGCGCCAGGGGGCCAGGTGGTGGGTGTGACCCCCGCCTACTGGAATTTGGAGGATCTGGGTGGAAGATGCTCGACTCCAATTCGAGTAGGCTTGGAGGTCTCGGCCCCGGAACCCGCGTGGCTTTGACCCTCTGCCAGTACCTTCAGGTGTGCGGAGAGTGGTCTCAGCATGGTGGTGGCTGGTCCTGGAGGTCTCCGGCTGCCGTAGCCCTGGCCGGGGCGGGGAGGAAAACTCAAGCCGCTCCCCTCCAAGGGACTCCGGGAAGGAACACCCAGGCGCGGGGGCAGAGACTGCACTGCTCTCGTCCGGAATCTGGATTTTATAGTCTCTGAGTCTTGGCCGCTGATGGGATTACACGGCGCCAGGGGGCCAGGTGGTGGGTTTGACCCCCGCCTACTGGAATTTGGAGGATCTGGGTGGAAGATGCTCGACTCCAATTCGAGTAGGCTTGGAGGTCTCGGCCCCGGAACCCGCGTGGCTTTGTCCCTCTGCCAGTACCTTCAGGTGTGCGGAGAGTGGTCTCAGCATGGTGGTGGCTGGTCCTGGAGGTCTCCGGCTGCCGTAGCCCTGGCCGGGGCGGGGAGGAAAGCTCAACCCGCTCCCCTCCAAGGGACTCCGGGAAGGAACACCGAGGCGCGGGGGCAGAGACTGCACTGCTCTCGTCCGGGATCTGGATTTTATAGTTTCTGAGTCTTGGCCGCTGATGGGATTACACGGCGCCAGGGGGCCAGGTGGTGGGTGTGACCCCCGCCTACTGGAATTTGGAGGATCTGGGTGGAAGATGCTCGACTCCAATTCGAGTAAGCTTGGAGGTCTCGGCCCCGGAACCCGCGTGGCTTTGTCCCTCTGCCAGTACCTTCAGGTGTGCGGAGAGTGGTCTCAGCATGGTGGTGGCTGGTCCTGGAGGTCTCCGGCTGCCGTAGCCCTGGCCGGGGCGGGGAGGAAAGCTCAACCCGCTCCCCTCCAAGGGACTCCGGGAAGGAACACCGAGGCGCGGGGGCAGAGACTGCACTGCTCTCGTCCGGGATCTGGATTTTATAGTTTCTGAGTCTTGGCCGCTGATGGGATTACACGGCGCCAGGGGGCCAGGTGGTGGGTGTGACCCCCGCCTACTGGAATTTGGAGGATCTGGGTGGAAGATGCTCGACTCCAATTCGAGTAGGCTTGGAGGTCTCGGCCCCGGAACCCGCGTGGCTTTGTCCCTCTGCCAGTACCTTCAGGTGTGCGGAGAGTGGTCTCAGCATGGTGGTGGCTGGTCCTGGAGGTCTCCGGCTGCCGTAGCCCTGGCCGGGGCGGGGAGGAAAGCTCAACCCG